AGTTTCTTTTTAATTTAAGTATTAGAGCTTTGACAACATATTGTATAGATACCTGTCTCTTGTTCATGTTGCAATAGTTGAAGACAATCTGTTGCCTTCCATATATTGTTCTGTCATTTTTCTAGTTGGGTTTCTGTTTCATCGATGTATTCCCCTTTCATATCCATATGAAACGTACACAAAATAACTATTTATGTAGTAGTAGTACCTTATGTAATGCAACATTAGTAGACTATGAACAAAAGGAATTAATTGTTAGAACTTAGGACTACTAGACATGCTAGATAGTTGTTACACAGTTACTTTGACAGTGTTTTCTCTCTTGATAGCCCTGTAAGGAGACAAATGCTAGGATTGAGCAATAAAAATGTCATAGACTAATTAGGGCCCCGCCTAGTAGTGGGTCGCCCTATAGTGATCAGTCTGTCCGTCCGTCCGTAACAAATTGCGTCCGCTCTATATCTAGAGAACCGTTATAATTTCATACTTTATACTTGACATGTATATTAACCATCACCAGAGGGTGTGTCATAATGTTTTTACAACTTCCTAGGTCAAAGTTCAAGGTCAGCAGGGCCTACAGAGATGGCTCCCATCTCGATGATGTCTAGTTTAACCCTACTTTCACTTTAGCCATATCTCTACTTTCACTTTCAACAATCTGTTTTTCCCATTTATGTTTTACTTTTTTCAATATATATATGTACATGTGACTTTTGTGTCTACCGAAAAAGTGCAATCAAGAGAGAACTGAATAAAATATAATCAGGAAGAAATACTATATATATTGGGAACTTCTTTTTATGCCCCTGCCGTAGCGGAAGGGGGCATTAAGTTTTACCCTTGTCCGTCTGTACGTACGCCCCAAAATTGGTTTCTATTCTCTAACTTTAGTTTGCCTCAACCAAATGTTATGAAACTTATACACAATGCTTATTACCATAAATCACAGATCAAGTTTGAATTTTGGTGGCATCACTTTAACAGTTCTAGAGTTATGCTCCTTTACCATGTTTACAAATGGAAGAATTGCTAAATTTTTTGTTTCCGTTCTCTAACTTCAGTTTGCCTCAACTAAATGTAATGAAACTTATACACAATGCTTATTACCACAAAACACAGATCAAGGTTGAATTTTGGTGGCATCACTTTTACCGTTCTAGAGATATGCCCCTTTATAAATGGAAAAATTGCTGAATTTTTCGTTTCTGTTCTTTAACTTTAGTTTGCCTCAACCAAATGTTATGAAGCTTATAAACAATGCTAATTACCACAAAACACAGATCAAGTTCGAATTTTGGTGGCGTCACTTTTGCTGTTCTAGAGTTGTGCCCCTCTACAAATGGAAAAATTGCTGAATTTTTCGTTTCCGTTCTCTTAATTTAGTTTGCCTCAACCAAATGTTATGAAACCTATACACAATGCTTATTGCCACAAAACTCAGATCAAGTACAAATTTGGGTAGCGTCACTTTTACAGTTCTTGAGTTATATCCCTTTATAACATTATATGCAAGCAGGGGCATCATCTGTGTCCCATGGACACATTCCCCATTTATTTCATACTAAGACCGCAAAGAAAAAGAATTAATTCATTGAGTCCTTAGGTTTTATGGTAGCAAAATGTTTATTTTTTGTATATACATTATAAAATCTTAAATTTTTTATGTACGTGTATATGTATTTCATATGAAGTTGACTGGTATTACAATCACTTATATTTTATTACGGTTCTGAACTCCGACATTATTCTGCTTTGTTCATAAAAAGTTATTGATCATCACACAAACACAAGTTACATGTATTTAATTAACAAACAACTTGAATAATTTTAAAGATCTCTTTGACTTCTGCTTTATATTAAGAACAGTCTTTTTCAAACATGTACATGCATGACAAATTGATACTTTTGAAATCTGTCTTTGTTGACCAGAGATTTAGTCAGCAGTTATAAAAGTTCCTGGGAGCTTCTTACATGTATTATTGACGCAAAAGTTATTTCTGTAATCAGTTGTCCATGCAGTTTGCAAAATTACTTAATGTGACTATTTATCAAATTCTATTTTAACACTTAAAATGCATGCAGCAAGTATGATAAATGAAATAAACAACTAATTTGAATATTACATGGGTAATTATTTGAAAGATACAAAGCATTAAATGAAATTTTAGTTAAAAAAGTGCAATTATTTACACTCATTTAAGAAGACAATCATCACAATGACATGTGCTTCAGTGCTTTATTTGTATTTGAAATTTATATTACTGTTTTAATACAAAATATGTTTTGGCCGTTTAATGTTGTAGACAAAAGTATCTTTTACTTTCTACATGTTACTAAGATACATGATCTTTTGGTCACACAGTTCACCAGTTTTGAAGGGGATGTGGTATAATTGCCAATGTAACAACTATTCACCAAAGGACACTTAAAGATATCAACAACTATAGGTCACTGTACAGCCTTCAACAATGAACAAAACCCATACTTTATAAAAGGCTGAGGCATAATAGAATGTGATACAAATTACACTAATTGAGAAAACCAATGGCCTGAACTAACAAAGGAAAACTTGTATCAGTTCTTTGTTTCCTTCTTGAAAAAGATACTACTCTTATAAGTGTTCAAGCATGTCCTATTAATACAGCTATAGCAATCCATCAAACATGTATAAAGAATAGAGAATGGAAATGGGGAATGTGTCAAATAGACAACAACCCAACCAAAGAGTAGAAAAGTCCAAGGCCACCAATGGGTCTTCAATCCAGCGAGAAAATATGTACAGTTTTATTATCTCATTTACAAAATAAATGTAGCCTATGATCCTAACTTACCCTCACTTACCATTCTACATGGATAAGAGAAAGTTGTCTACCTTATTTATCTTAGTAGGAAAACTGGACTAATTTTGAAAAATAGAAAACCAGATTAGTATCTGGTTTACAAACTAATCCACCTTAGTAGGGTTAGCTGGCTTGGCCGATGGTAATTCAATTATTTAACATAGAAATAAATATAAAACTAACTAACCATGCATGCATGGCTAACCCTCCTTAATCAGGTCTGGAATTATTACGTTATATATATTCTAGATTTAAAAAAATTTCTAGTTTCTAACTTTTAAATATATATTTTTTTTTAATAGATTCCATATGTGACCCATTTTACAATGTGTATTCAGGTTTGACTGTATACATACATATTTCCTATACCTTAGGCCCGAAGTGACCTTTTAGTACATGAAATATGATACACATGTTAACTACCACATTGTACCATGGTCAAATCTAATTGACCTAAAACAATACTAGTTTTGTTTATAATCATTTTGCCCTAACAGGTGTTTGGCCGACATTCTAATCAACTAAAAAAAATGTTAATTAGGGTGATTTACCATTACGTTCCATATCTATTTTCTGTCAATTTGAAACATTTAATTAGTTTGTCAGCCATAACAGATTCACAGGTTTGTTTTTTGGATTGATTGTAAAAAGTAAATGTAATATTTTATATACTGAAAAGTTTTTCTTTTGAAAAAGTAGAAAGTTGACTCATCAAAAGATGACTTGTTTGATATAAAAGCAGGTTTGGAATTTGATATTGACATTATAGTTCTGACACTGGATTTATTATTGTGACTTGAAGTACGCATCTAATAAATTGGTTTACAAGTATATATTGAAGGAAAAGAATAATAATTGCATTTAAAAATAAATACTGAAATGGTTTTGAAAGTTTAAATCAATGCTATGAATTTTGTAAATACATTTTGAACTTTAATTAAGTGAACCAAATCTTCAATGTAGATTTTACATTTTTTCCACAAAATTTTATGACACAAAATGTATGAAGTGTTTGGAAAACATTTTAAACTAACAACATAAACAATTAATATAGTTAACTATTTAGTTGTACTTTTAAAAGTCAATAATGACTCTGATAATATCTTGTGACAGTTAGAAATATATCATCTTCATACATTTTAAAATTATGAAAAAAAGACATTAATGATACAAAGAATGAATTTGTTCTATTTTTTCATCTACCAAAAATTTCCTGAGGTGACAGTTTAATGTCAGGTTTGTAAGGATAAGTTGAAGAAAATTAAGATTAATGATGAAAAAAGATGTGAAGACATAGTTGTTAAACTTATGACAGTTTTGTTTGACTTTTTAGTTAACACATCAAACGGGTTAAATGTGATACAGCCGACCTACCGTTATGGAGGAAGAGGTTAATTCTGATGGTCAGAGGTAAGTTTTAATTATATTTCTATTATTTTGGAAAGTCACAATATTTTTTTATGTTTAAAATTAGATGTTAGGTAATAATTGAGATTGTCCATTTAACACATTTATGCTAATTACCTTGTAGTTTATTGTAAATTTTATGAATATTCTAGTTGTAAAACTTATGTAAAAGTATTGTATACCTTTATTCCATAGTTGAATGATAACTATTTAGTTGTGAGCTACATGTTCTTGTTAAGAAAAAAAAAGTGATACAGATCAGTGATGTCTACTTCAATTAAAACAGTATATCTGCAATAATTTTATATTTTGTCATCATGGTCATTGACCACAAAGTTTTAAATAAAAGATTTATTAAAAATTCAGAACCATTCAGTTTATCAGATGATGGGTTTTGATAGGACACTAAATGGTGAATGAATAAATGATGTATTTTATAAAGGTTCAGTGTGTATTAGGGCATGGCTGAGCAGCATTTAAATTCAATTAATAGTTTGTCAAAGGAATCTGTTTTTGTCTTAGCTGGACAAAGTTGAAAAAGCCTGACTTAGGCGTGCTGTTTCTGGCGGTGGCGCTAACAATATTAAGTCAGTTTATGGGAAACCACTAGTGGCAGGTCAATAATATTTATCATTGTCGCATCTCCAACATGGAGTTTATTTGGTCCAACCCCTCAGTCATGGTCTATTGAATTTAAAACATTATTTAGTTTACATGTTAAAGTTTGCAATTAGGTCAATGGTTTTTGTTATGCAATTGTATTAGCATTTCTCTTTTCCACTGAGGTAATTTGGCCCTGCACCTTCAGTCAGGATTCCTTGATTTTCAATGTTTTGCATAGTGTACATGTTAAAGTATTGCCATTTTAATTTCAACCTTTGTATAATGCATTATACTATCAAAATTACATAAAGGCGAGACATATTTGTGTCAACAGTTTATTTACATTATTGAATTGAAAAGTGTAATATTATTATGTGGTTTTGTACACTTCTGGTATTCTAAAATTACATCGCAATTCACAATTATTTTAAAATACTTACATTCATAGAAACCCTTGTGTAAGAGTAATATTCTGTTTCATTCAGTATTTTTGTTCTGACATCAAAACAGCAGTACATTTTATCTTGCACTGCAAATTATATATTCAATATTGGAAACAAAAATACATACTTTGAACTCATTGACTTTGCATTAAGTATATATATATATGCTAAATATTTCTTCTTTTTAAAAAGATACAGAACTGCTGTGAGTTATGACGAACATATGAGTAGCCATTTTCACTCATGGAAAGAAGATTTCACGGAAAAACCAGAGAGGTTCACTGAGACGATAAAAAGATGTAAAAAATATGGTCTTCTAGAGAGGTGTAAATTTGTACCTGTAAGTAGAACTTTAACAGCAATGTATTCACTTCTAAGTTAATTACATATGTTAATTACAAAGTGGCCTTATTTTTGTGAAAAAGTCCATCTATTAACCTAAGACTTTGAAATAAAACTCAGAATGTTTGGATCCCTTTTCCCTCATAAGTATTGATTTCCATCAATTATCCTGGTCTTTCAAACTGTTCAAAGTAGACCTTCCAATTGTGGCATTGAAGCTTGATTCCTCAAATTGGGAAGTAATGGCTAGAAATAACAATAACTGGAATATTCAGTCAGACCTGAGAAATTCTGGGGAAATGACATTGACAAAAAGTTTAAATAAAATCATAAATATATGTAAAATAAGACAAATAATTAAAAAGACAGAAAAAAAATGTCTTTGCTAAAGATTGTCCATTTGTTAAGTTTGTTCCTTATACAATTAAGAATCATTTAAGGATATCTTTTTATATATAATTTTAATTTAAATCCTTTTTAAACATGTTAAAACAATCCTTTAAAATATTGTTTGATCAGAGTGTCAAATAGATAATTTAACTGTGTTAATGCAGATGAATGCATTGCTTGCTACAGATGTCTACAAAAAGCATAAATTGTCTCCCTTTGGCATTGTACGATTACAGTATTTTTGCTTTTCTTGATAGTTGACACTGTTCCAAGATTAACCCTTATTTCTTATGACTTGACCACTTTATATGGTTAAGACTGTACGACCAGATTGGGTGAAGTGATCCCTATATTTATATGTTTTTGATAATCACCATATATTCTCTTCTTTTTAAATGCATTTTATGAAGAAGATTTAAAACAATTGAAGTAACTTGAACACTCTTGTATGTTGACCTTAGATGAATGTATTGCCCTTAATGTTTCTACATATTTATGCATCCCTGTCTTTTAAATGTTTTGGTTTAGGCATTCCTGATGGAGGTAAATCCAGAAAAGCACTTCTGACACACAAAATGTTATTTTCATTTGCATGTACAATAAGTCTTTACTTGAAGCAAAGCTAGAAGTAAATATTTTTTCAAAAATGCTTGAAGACAGTTGATATAAATTCATCTTAATCCCTACAAAATCATTTCTAAATCTAAAACTGAAATTTTACATCAAGATCTTCCAATAACGTAGAATATATTTTGTTTATTTACAGTCTAGACTAGCGACAGAAGAAGATATGAGGGTTTATCATACCAAAGAATTAATAGATATCTTAGAAAAATCTCAATTCCTGCCATTAGAAGAAATGAGAAAGTTATCTAGACTGTATGACTACCTCTACTTTCATAAGGTATTCAGTTTGGTCAGATAAATTACAGGAAACATATTTTACAGCTACACATAATACTGGTAAACAAACCAAACTATATATTTCAATGACAAATCATTAATAAACTTTTATGTATATGTGCAGGTGTGTCATCTTTTAAACTCTGTTGATTTCTTAGATTTCTCAGGCAAATTTTTTGAAATACTAAGGATTTTCTACCTCAAGAAAAGATTACCTTAGCTGTATTTTTGGAATTTTGGTTCCTAAATACTTTTCAACTTAGAACTTTATTTGGCCTTTTTATCATTTTATGCCCCCGCCTTAGCGGTGGGGGCATTAAGTTTCACCCTTGTCCGTCTGTACGTACGTACGTACCAAAATTGTTATCCGTTCTCTAACTTGAGTTTGTCTCAACCAAATGTTATGAAACTTATACACAACCCTTCTAGAGTTATGCATGTTTACAAATAGAAAAATTGCTGAATTTTTAGTTTCTGTTCTCTACTTAAAGACCAAACAACCTATTCAGTTCTACCAGTGATTTTTCCTTAAAATTTTGTGTGAAGGTATTTCATGATTTGAGGAACAAAATATGATAAAAAAAATTGGGGGTCATCGACTTAGTTTTGTCACTATAGCAACCTCAGTTTCGTGTTTTCCCGAATATTAACATGATATTTGCTTGTTATTTAAACTCTCAAAAAATCCCATTATATCAAACCTACAAGCATAATTCTTGTTTCATGTTAAACAGCAGATTTGTGTCTATCAAATACAGGTTCAAGAGTTTAAGACTCTTATTGTTTTGATCTTAAAAAATATGATTTATGTCATTCCCGCCAAAAATAAAACGCAAGAATGAAAAACGTTTCAAGTATTAAAAAATATCTACCAGTGATTTTTTCATAAAAATTTTAAGAAGGAAAGTGACATGTGTACTCTTCAAAATAAGGCAAAAAAATGTATATGTCACCGACCTTTCAAAAAAGTTATGATTAATTTTCATGATTTTTTCTCGTTCATTTTGAAGAAAAGAGTTGTCTTTCTTCAGAACATTGAATCTGACGTCATAGTACAAGTTTTCCTTGCTGGCGTACTGTTTGAAAAAAAAAATGCAAATTGGACGTTTGAAACCCACATTTAAATTTTCAAAAATCAAGAATAACAACTATATTCACCTACTTTATTATCCGGTAATACAAGAGATCACATGGATGTATCAGTATCAGATCTCATGATGTTGTTGCCGCACAAAATTAACCTTCAGAAACACCATCCGTCGGAATGAAAAATTGTTCGAAATAACCTTTTACGACGCTTTAGAAAGGAAAGTCTGTTTTTGTCCTCTCCCTCTCATTAGCAAAATCATTGAAAATAAAAAGAGAAATGAAAGATGACACTGGCTAACTTACAGACTATTTGACTATATTAGACTAGATGTGTGGGTTTTTTTTGTCGCGTCAATTTCAGAACTTCGCCCTAGCGCACTCTTTCGCTACTGTTGACAGACGGACAGACATTAGCACGGACGGACTTCTTTATACCATTATGTGTCCCTACTAAGACGAGCGTATACAAATTATTCCATCTAGTTTGTGGATTCATTATTTCTGAATATTTGAAATATAAGAAAATAAAAATTATAGGTATAATAAATGAATTAAAGTTTTTGATTCTAAAACGTTATACATCCATTTATCATAAAATACGATCCCCGTTATTACTACCTCACATGTTTTGAATAAACGAGACAGTAAATATAAAATACATATAAATTCTCGGCAAGATAATAATTCATTGTACTAGTATTACATTTTTATGGATTTTATTGTGGTGCTTTGAAATGCTGTAAATAGAATTTTACTCCGTGATTTTAGTGAATGTAAACAGAGTGCTCAAATATCTTTTAAATTGACTTATCCTGCTCGAAATTCTACTCCCATCTCCCCTTTGTGAGCAGGGGACAACAGTTATATACATGTTATAATTGACAATTCATAACATATGTATAACTGGCTAACGGAAGAGGTTTATATGATAAATAAAAAAATACCTTTCACCTATAATTTACCTGTACACAATCGGTGCAAAATTTATATGTTTATTATTATTTTTATTAGAACGGAGGTTACAGATAGTGTAGTATCTTTTGTGTCCATTTGTGTTTAATTTCCACTAGGTATCAGAGCGACGCTTAATTCCACTTTTCTTGGAAGACGTAGTTTTAAGCGTACACCATGTTGGAGTCCGTGAAAAACGCGAAATAGGACGTTATAATTTGACGTTTTTTTTCATGGCTAGAAACAACGTCATAGAGCTTTTATGTCACTACCAAGTTGCGTTAGTTGATACGCATCAACAATAGGCTGTTTGGTCTTTAATTTAGCCTCAACCATATGTTATGAGACTTACACACAATGCTTATTACCACAAAACTCAGATCAAGTTCAAATTAAGGTAGCGTCACTTTTACCTTTCTTCAGTTATGTCCCTTTATAACTATATGATATGCAAGCGGGGGCATCATCTTTGTCCACATGTGGACACTATCCACATTTATTTAACTTTTTTTTATTCTGGCATCACTGATGCGTCTGTTGTAGATGAAACACACGTCTTGCATACAAAATTTTAAGCCTGGTATCTATGATGAGTTTGTTTAGAATTTGACCACATCCTCCTATGTCAGTCATATGTAATATATGACTACTTCCAGTTTGTCCTGTTACAGTGTAAGGAGACAAAAGGGGGGGAGGGGGACAAAATTTTAGAATGTTTGTCAATGTATTTTCAAAAAACGTCAAATTCTTTAAATAATTGAATGCCTTCTCATAAATGACAAACTTCTAATATGATTCAAGGGTTGGAGTTTTAACATATTTGTGTCTTGGATAGGTTTGTTTTTAGATAACTTAAAACATTTGTTAAACTTCAAAAGTAACACAACTATTTTAGAGATATAAAAGTTTGGACAAAATTATTTTCGTAGTGCTAGTGAAAAATATGAAAGTGATTAACTGTTATAACATTAGAAATTAAAATAGCTAAGTATAATGTTTTGTTTGTTTGTAGAAGTAAATATAATCCCCTATAGAAAGACTTCCTTTGAACCCCTCTTATTGACGGGATAAGCATAGACATACATAAAGGGGTAGGTCAAAAAGAAGCCTTGCCATCCCCTTGTTGACTGAGGTGAAAAATAGGAAACCAACTAATATCTATTAACATGAAATGACTTTGAATGGTTTTGTAGACCTTTGATTTTGCCAGGTAGACCAAAAGACAGTGTGGGAACTTTCAAATTGTAAATAGTTTTTGTTGAGCCTGCGACTTTTGTCGCAGAAAGCTCGACATAGGGATAGTGATCCGGCGGCGGCGGCGGCGTTAGCTAACTTCTTAAAAGCTTTATATTTTAGAGGGTGGAAGATCTGGATGCTTCGTACTTTGTATATGGATGCCTCATGTTACAAAGTTTCCGTCAGTCACATGTCCAATGTCCTTGACCTCATCTTCATGGTTCAGTGACTACTTGAAAAAAAAGTTAAGATTTTTTGTAATGTTAAATTCTCTCTTATTATAAGTAATAGGATAACTATATTTGGTATGTGCGTACCTTGCAAGGTCCTCATGCCTGTCAGACAGTTTTCACTTGACCTAGACCTCATTTCATGGATCAGTGAACAAGGTTAAGTTTTCGTGGTCAAGTCCATATCTCAGATACTATAAGCAATAGGTCTAGTATATTCGGTGTATGGAAGGACTGTAAGGTGTACATGTCCAACTGGCAGGTGTCATCTGACCTTGACCTCATTTTCATGGTTCAGTGGTTATAGTTAAGTTTTTGTGTTTTGGTCTGTTTTTCTTATATTGTATGCAATAGGTCTACTATATTTGGTGTATGGAATGATTGTAAGGTGTACATGTCTAGCTGGCAGGTGTCATCTGACCTTGACCTCATTTTCATGGTTCAGTGGTTATAGTTAAGTTTTTGTGTTTTGGTCTGTTTTTCTTATACTGTATGCAATAGGTCTACTATATTTGGTGTATGGAATGATTGTAAGGTGTACATGTCTAGCTGGCAGGTGTCATCTGACCTTGACCTCATTTTCATGGTTCAGTGGTCAAAGTTAAGTTTTTGAGTTTTGGTCTTTTTTCCTAATACTGTATGCAATAGGTCTACTATATTTGGTGTATGGAATGATTGTAAGGTGTACATGTCTAGCTGGCAGGTGTCATCTGACCTTGACCTCATTTTCATGGTTCAGTGGTTATAGTTAAGTTTTTGTGTTTTTGTCTGTTTTTCTTATACTGTATGCAATAGGTCTACTATATTTGGTGTATGGAATGATTGTAAGGTGTAAATGTCGAGCTGGCAGGTGTCATCTGACCTTGACCTCATTTTCATGGTTCAGTGGTCATAGTTAAGTTTTTGTGTTTTGGTCTGTTTTTCTTATACTGTATGCAATAGGTCTACTATATTTGGTGTATGGAATGATTGTAAGGTGTAAATGTCTAGCTGGCAGGTGTCATCTGACCTTGACCTCATTTTCATGGTTCAGTGGTCAAAGTTAAGTTTTTGAGTTTTGGTCTTTTTTTCTAATACTATATGCAATAGTTCAACTATATTTGGTGTATGGAAATATTTTATGATCAATATGTCAGTCACACAGGTTTATTTGACCTTGACCTCATTTTCAAGGTTCATTGCTCAGTGTTAAGTTTTTGTGTTTTGGTCTGTTTTTCTTAAACTATAAGCAATAGGTCAACTATATTTGTTGTATGGAAGAATTGTTAGCTGTACATGCCTGCCTAGCATGGTTCATCTGACCTTGACCTCATTTTCATGGTTCATTGGTCAATATTTAGTTTACTTGGTTGATGTTAAGTTTATGTGACAGTTGTAATAAAGCTTTATATTTAGGACTATCAACATAATATCAATGATTAGTAAAGAAGGCGAGACATTTCAGTGTGTGCACTCTTGTTTAAATCAGTTATTTTGCATCAAATTTTGATTGGTTAGATTGTTGTTATCTCTGAATGACAAAAGTGCTATAAATACAGAAATATGCTAGGATTAAACGTCAGTTTTAAGTAGTTGTTTAGACCTTGAACAGTACAAACTAATTTATTTCATGGAGACAAATGAGAAATACCTTAATTATTCCATTGACACCATTGTATTCACCAGACAGTGTCTGTTTAAAAAAGAGGTTAGGTTAATAGGTCAATTGGTTTATGCCCTGTGGATGAAGGTTTGTTTTTAAAAGTTTAACCATATATTATCAGTTTTAAATACAGGTTAACGTGTAAAAAACTTATGAGGAGAATAAGTCTTTTGTTTCATACACTACTTGTTAAGCTTTTGTCATACAGTAAGAGTTTCGATGAGAAGACAAATGTTTTCAATTTTTTAATGAATGAGTTACTTTATAATTTCTCATGCCACTCTTGTCAAAGATGTGCACTCTATAATTGTAATTCAAAGGGTTTTGTTAACATGGTTCATGAAGAGTTTTTTATTTCCTTATCATCCATAAGGCGAGTGAAGCATTTATTAGCATTTGACATCCTTCGTTTGTTGTCATTGCTTTTTTTTCTGTTTTCATCTTACTTGAAATTACTTGAAATTATATCATGTATATTGAACTTGATAAGTTCCATTATAAAAAGATTTATTTCATTTTTGATTGGACTAGAAACATTGCCAATGGAGCCAATTCTAGATTCTGATTTTGAGATTTTTCTCTGTGGATGTACACATTAAAATCTGGTTTGAGATCAAAAGAATTTTCCCTGATTTTATGTTCATCCAATTTGTGCAGAGCCAGTATGAAAAAGCCATTACATGGTGTCTTGAGTTTGATGAACAAATTCATATATTCTCTAAAACAACTGGATCAATGAAATTCAAACATTACTTACAAGCAGCCTCAGGGGTGTCCAGTTTTAAAATGATACACAACCAAATGTTCTATCCAACCATGTAAGCCAACTGGCCATCATAAACTAAGAAATTGTAATATCAAAACAAATTTATTATATTTTTGTTGTTGAAATGAGTGAATATCAGAAAGACTTCGGGAAAATCATATATTTAAATGATCAAGAATCATTTATACTTAGTTAAGTAAATTAGCCCTGTTTGTATAGAAGTGAGCTACAATTTATTTTGTATTCTAACAGATAAAAGTCAGTTTTAACCTAGAATTATACAAATATAGGTTACCCTTAAGGTACTGTCCTGGTAATATGCCAAGCGGAGGTGTTTTCCAGATGTAAAATATGTTTATTTATTAGGTTATTCAACCTTGGTAGTTATGTTTTATTTACATTATTTATTTTTTGCATATCCTGTAACATTGACATTATCAAGATGTCATCTAGTTATGACATACTGCGTTACATGTTTTCATTTCCTTCGATTTTTTCTTTCCAGTTACTGAAAAAATATATATCCTTAAGTCAACAACATTGATCAGAGTATAATTAGTAAGCAATAGCTATAACATATAAGGGAACCAAATTTAATCATGCATTATCTACCCTTTTTCAAGGTTCTCAATAATCAATCCTGTAGCTAGGTAATTCTAGTTGACTACTACACCAGATTGCAGTTTGATTTTGAAATGTATGATTTATTATATTGATAGTTGAGATTTTTTTTCAGGATATATATACCAATGCAAGACTTGCACTAGGATGTACAATAGATTTAGTGGAACAGGTTGTAACAGGAAAGGTAAGGTCGCACAAATTATATCCAGACTTTATGGAATTTCAAAGCTAAATTTTCAGTTTAGAGTATTCAACCACAATGTCTTCTACAGATTTATGAAAAATACTGGCATAAGAAGAAGTGGGATAAATTTTTTGGAAAAATAAGTTTCCTTTATTTTTGAAAAGAAATGTTATTGGTCATATCGATAATTGCATATGAGATAACTATCTCATAAAATACTTGGAATCATCCAATATACTGAAACATTGGTGCTTTTATATTCAATTATGACTAAAGCAAAAAGAAGAAGGTGGCCAGAGGGTCCAACTTTAATAGTATCTTGATATTTAACAATAAACACAAATTACATCTTTAAAGGGACTTCTGCAAGCATAGTCAATGAAATACTTGTAAACCTGTTTTAGACTTAGAACTCTCAAATTCTATCATTTGTATTCTGACAAAGAATTTCTTCATCTTTTTACAGGTTTTGAATGGGTTTGCGATTGTTAGGTAAGTTTGTAGATGTTCTAGATTTAATATGTAAAACATATCTTAATTAATCTGATCTGTACGTCCATACGTCTCAAAATTGGTTTCTGTTCACTAACTTTAGTTTGCCTCAACTATGAAACTTATACACAATGCTTATTACCACAAAACACAGATCAAGTTAAAATATTTGATGTGTCACTTTTACCATTCTAGAGTTATGCTCCTTTACAAATGGAAAAATTGCTGAATTTTTCGTTTCCGTTCTCTAACTTTAGTTTGCCTCAACCAAATGATATGAAACTTATACACAATGCTTATTACCACAAAACTCAGATCAAGTACAAATTATGTCCCTTTATAACGTTATATGCAAGTGGGGGCATCATTTGTGTCCCATGGATACATTCCTCATATATTTTATATGCAAAAAGCATGACTCTCTTTTTCATGAGGCATGTATAACAGGAAAGTACACATGAGAATGTTTTATTTGTGTATTCCCATTCTTATTTGAAGAACCATTGATATTGTAATTTTAATTTTTGCAGGCCCCCTGGTCATCATGCAATGAGTAATGAGTTCAATGGTTACTGCTATTTAAATAATGTGGCTACAGCAGCCAAAATAGCTATAAAAAGGCATGGTTTGAAAAGGTAACATTTACATTTAGTAATTAATTAGGAGAAGTAGTATGAATTAATTTTAATATTTTACTTATCTTAAAGGATCCTGATTTTTGTCGAGCCTGCGACTTTTGTCGCAGAAATCTTGACATAGGGATAGTGATCCCGGGGCGGCGTTAGCTAACTTCTTAAAAGCTTTATATTTAAGAAGGTGGAAGACCTGGATGCTTCATACTTTGTATATGGATGCCTCATGTTACGAAGTTTCCGTCAGACACATGTCCAATGTCCTTGACCTCATTTTCATGGTTCAGTGACTACTTGAAAAAAAAGTTAAGATTTTTTGTAATGTTAAATTCTCTCTTATTATAAGTAATAGGATACCTATATTTGGTATGTGCATACCTTGCAAGGTCCTCATGCCCATCAGACAGTTTTCACTTGACCTCAACCTCATTTCATGGATCAGTGAACCAGGTTAAGTTTTGGTGGTCAAGTCCATATCTCAGAAACTATAAGCAATAGGTCTAGTATATTTGGTGTATGGAAGGACTGTAAGGTGTACATGTCCAACTGGCAGGTGTCATCTGACCTTGACCTCATTTTCATGGTTCAGTGGTTATAGTAAAGTTTTTGTGTTTTGGTCTGTTTTTCTTATACGGTATGCAATAGGTCTACTATATTTGGTGTATGGAATGATTGTAAGTCGTACATGTCTAGCTGGCAGGTGTCATCTGACCTTGACCTCATTTTCATGGTTCAGTGGTCAAAGTTAAGTTTTTGAGTTTTGGTCTATTTTTCTTATACTTTATGCAATAGTTCAACTATATTTGGTGTATGGAAATATTTTATGATCTATATGTCAGTCACACAGGTTTTATTTGACCTTGACCTCATTTTCAAGGTTCATTGCTCAGTGTTAAGTTTTTGTGTTTTGGTCTGTTTTTCTTAAACTATAAGCAATAGGTCAACTATATTTGTTGTATGGAAGAATTGTTAGCTGTACATGCCTGCCTAGCATGGTTCATCTGACCTTGACCTCATTTTCATGGTTCATTGGTCAATGTTTAGTTTACTTGGTTAATGTCAAGTTTATGTGACAGTTGTAATAAAGCTTTATATTTAGGACTATCAACATAATATCAATGATTAGTAAAGAAGGCGAGACATTTCAGCGTGTGCACTCTTGTGTTTCTTTGATGATGTTTTAGTTAATCCATGAGCAAACATAAAAAATATTTGTGTTCTATTTACTTCATATCATCAAGCAAGGTTGGATTTTATGTTTCCTCACAATTTAAAAGAACATTGGAAAATGAAAAATTTGTTTAAAAATTGAATTTTGACATTTAATAAATCAAAAATAGTACCTCATGTTGCTTATATAGGATTACAGTGTATGTGGAAAAGATTAAGAAAATGTTTACTGACTGGAGAATATTATATTTGCCAAACCCTTGAATCCATAAAATCAAAATTTCAGTTAATGTATTATTTTATAAATTATTTTATAAATTAAATTATATTGTTAGAATGAGTTATATATACAACATTGACATGTGATGCTTCTATAGATATATTTTAATAGATTTTGGAATATAATGTCAGTGTTATTTATTAATTAATGAATGTAACTTATAATGAGAATATTAATCCAAATTTGAAGCATAGCATCTGATTTCATATTTATCTCCCTTGGAAAGTTAGGAAATATGATCAGAGCATCTTATCAATTGCTAACATCACCATTGTACGAATAGTTTGTGGGATATACATTGTCAGTATTTAACTTAAGTTTATCAGTAATTTCAAAAATTGGGCATCTCATTTTATTTTATGGATCCTGGAGACAAAAATAATATGTCTTGCCTTGAACTACACTGGAATCTAAAATGAATGTCTATATGCCCTGATGATGTTAGGAAATGGATGGACTAAAATATGCAGACATATATGTCAGTGTTCCCGCCTGCCCTAAATAGAAGGGCGGCCCGCCCTTGGTGCCGTTACCCCCGCCCTTCTGCCCTCTAAAGTAAAAGAATGCACCCCTCTGCCTTTTCAAAAAAAATAAAATTTCCAAATTTCATGCCTACCGGCGTTTCCGGTAAAATTGTTACCTGATTGTGTAACACTAATTAACTGACAATGGGATTAAGTTAAATACCTAATACTTTGGCAGTTTTATCACCTTTGTTAATGATTGTTTACTGCTAATTAGTGGATTTAAGATAATTGAACAAATACTAGATATTTAATACAGAATGAAATGTCCACATGTTATCCATTTGTAATGTTTATGTACAGCATGTACACCTGAAAACATTTATTTCAGTAGGCATAACATAAAAAATAAAATCTTAAACAATTTTAAAGGCATACATAGTTTTGACTTAATTGGTAAAAAATATTTTGTTTCATAAGCATGAGTATGAATTTAAAGAAGAATCAAAGAAATTTGTACTTTGAACATAACAAGATTCACTTCCTGTTTTACTTCTTGTATTTTATAATCCTCCTGACATAAGAGCACTCAACAAATTTATTTTTAACAATGATGGAGAAAAAAGTAACTGTTTATACCTTCTGCAATATGTAATTGCATCAATATAATATGATCACCCCTGTCTCACCTGTTATATTAATAAAACTCCTTACTGAGGAGCACTTTGGTGTGCACTTAAAAATACTTTTTTGTAACAATTCAAATGATAATAAATAACTCTCAATAACATATAGAACAAGTAATTTAAATGTAGATAATTTAATTACATTAAACATTCAATTTTGCATGTATAACTCCATCTTTCAAAACTGCTTGTTTATTTTGGTATAAATAAAACATTGAAATTTCTGAAGACTATTTTCCTTACCAAATGTACAAGTTTGTTCAGATTAACATCAAAATGATATGCTTTGCTTCATGGTATGATAATTTGATAAAAAAAAATTCTTACTGGAACCAACATCAAGAACACATTAATTTTTGAATATGGTTTAAATACAACTAATGTTCTCCAGCTGAGCCTAGCAATATTCAAGGTAATTTATACACTGTCAAACATTGCCCTTAAAATCTGGATTATAACGCAAAAGTGCCCTTTCAGACAACTAGCACCCTTCTGCCCTGAGATTCAAGCTGGAACACTGTATGTGAATGATTCATATAAGTTTAATAAACTTTGTTTATACACATTTAAACTTTGTTTATGTTGACTTTGTCGTCTCTGTGTTGACTGCTCATTAGATATACTTGTAAATCTGTGTGCCTATTGTAGATGTGGACTCATTCTATGTTCTTATTTCAGGATTTTGATACTTGACTGGGATGTTCATCATGGTCAGGGAATACAGTATTGTTTTTATGATAACCCAAAGTAAGTTGATTTATAGCTAAGAAACATCTTATTAGAACAGATTAATTAAGATATGTGATTGAAATTGAAAGTAAGCAGATGTTGTTTAATTTAAAAATAAGAAGATGTGGTATGATTGCCAACTCTCCACAAGTGACCAAATGACACAGAAATTAACAATTACAGATCACCGTACAGCCTTCAACAATGAGTAAAACCCATACTGCATAGTCAGCTATAAAAGGCCCCGAAATGACGGATGTAAAATTATCTGACGAGAAAACTAACGGCCTGATTTATATACAAAATAATGAACGAAAAACACATATGATATACAGCAACTAATGACAGCTACTGAATAACAGGCTCCTGACTTGGGACAGGCACATACAGGAAGTGGCGGGGTTAAACACATTGCTTATAATACAACTATCCACCAGAGATCAAAGGATGAGGATTTAAACAAAGATTGAAAATATATACTGTGATTCAAATTTTACATGGGGTTTTGATCTTATATATTTAAAACAGATTTAATGAACTTAAAATGGTCAACATGTTTTGAAAATCAGTACAAATGTACTGCTATAGCAAAAGAAATATTTTGCTCTGCCATGTAATAATATTAGATTTAATTTTATTATTTAAACGAATGAACACTTGTTTTTCCATTTTTAGTGTGTTATATATCTCCATACATAAATATTTAGATGGGAAGGAATGGCCATATTTACGAGAGTCAGATTATGACCATACTGGTGAAGGGACTGGAGTTGGATTCAATGTTAATATACCTTTAAATGTGGTCAGTATATATTTAATTCAGAAAAATAGAGAATGCAATGTGTTATTGTTATAAAAAGAATATTTGGCAGAGGTTGCAGACTGAGATTTGTATAGCTTATTTTGTTGAAAAAAATTTTGTGTCTCATTGAGAACATTTTTAGTATTTTTCAGATAGATGGACTTCGTTTTTTACAGTTAACATTTTCAGACAGTCTTGGATTAAATTTTTTGACATGATAAATTTATAAACCTGCATGGATTGTTATGAAACTTGGACATAAGCTAATCTTAAAGACCAAAAAATAGCATCTAAAGAAAAATTTGATTTTTAAAAAAAAAATCTGTTTAGTATTTTCTGATAAATGGACTCACTTTTTAAGTCAACATTACACTTTTACACTGACAGCATCAATGGCAGGCGAGACACAGGGTTCAATGGAACCCCTTTCAATTTTTTATGTATTCTGCATTATATTGTTTTCATTCTGAAAAGATGTTTAGATAGGTTGAAATTACATAAAAGGTATGGGATATAAGGGAAATGCTCATGAGATAATATCAGATTAGACACTAAGGCGAAAACCCTATAACTAAGGAAAAGCAAACAAAAACACTGAAAGTCTTATACAGGTAATATAAACTTTCTCAAAGACACAGTACTACCTGTATAAGAACTACATGTAATTAGCCAAATAACCATAACAGTAGATGTGTTTTTGAAGTGATTAAGATTATAACACAATGTTGACTGCTGTACCCTTATTTTTGACATTTTTACGTATTATGTATGATGGTTTTGTTGACACATTGTTGTCAATATAATGGAATATAATGCGACTGTCATAAAAGTGAGAGGTTTAGCTAGCAATAAAACCAGGTTTAATCCACCTTTTTCTACATGAGGAAATGCCTGTACCAAGTCAGAAATATGACAGTTGTATTTGTTTGATGTGTTTGAGCTTTTATGTTGACTATTTTTTACTTTCATTGTATGAATTTAACTTTTGTGTCTGGATCTAATTTTAACGAACAAGACCACATGAAACATGGTGTGTAAGATTATGGCAGTGAGGTCCATGCTAGTATATTTAACAATGACTCACTATTTTGAATGGATGTGGACCAATATGGACAGGTTTTATGTTTATAATGTTTTACATGTGCACACTTATAGCTTACAAATTTATAAATGTTTACATTACAGATAGGTTGTGGTAACTGTGATTACATGGCTGTGTTTCATCAGATTATTTTACCAATAGCTTATGAGGTAAAGTCTTTTATTTCAGTGATAGAGAATATAAATAAGGATAAAAATAAAGTCATGTTTGTTAAACTATTTAAATATTTTCTTGTATACTGTAAATTCTGAAATTATTGCAAGGTTTTTATTAATGGGAATAATGCAACTGTTTGATTAGAACTCACAATTTTATATCTAATACATACATGTATATCTGTACACAGATTTTCCTAAAATCATAAAAATTAATCTCACATTTTTGCCCTTTCTTCAAAAATCGCAATTATAGTTGCACACAGTAATTTCTGAATTTACAATTATTCTATTAGGTTGAACAGAGGATATTTTAATCAGGGCATTAGCTGTTTTAGTGACGGTTGCAAGGCATTCGTTTTATATGCCCCATGCCGCTAGATTAAGTGTTATTCTTGTCTGTCCGTATGTACATCCGAAAATTGGTTTCCGTTCTCTAACTTTAGTTTGCCTCAACCAAATGTTATGAAACTTGTTCACAATGCTTATTACCATAAAACACAAATCAAGTTCAAATTTCGGCTGCATCACTTTTACAGTTCTCTAGTTTTGTCCCTTTATAACGTTATATGCAAGCAGATACATCATCTGTGTCCCATGGACACATTCTCCTTTATTGACAGATAGGTTACTGCTGGTTGCATTATAATGTTTCATCAGCAATTTTATTGTTATTGTTTGATTACAATGTAACTAAAAATAGTTAGCCTTGAACCAAAACAGTAAAGAACTTTCCTCAGACAATCTCTTTTTTGTTCATTCTGACACCTAAATTATTATCCTCAACCCTCGGAATGGTGTTGGTTTTTTTTTGTACATGTAAAACAGTCATTGTTTTCTGTTAACAGATTCAATAACTGTACATTTACAACAGTGAAATAACTGCAACAGCAATTCTAGTCTAGAACAAATGGAATATGATCAATTTTTCTTTCTATTTGATGCACCTTCTGTCATTTTCATATTTCACAAGATAAAAATAAATGGATTGATAAAGATTTAATTCCAATTTTTTTATATCAAGATTTTTTTTTCAGTATCTGTTTTGTTTTATTCCTTGAAGATATATGCCTGCATATGGTACCACAATTTCCATATTTTAATGTATATATAAATATATGCCATAGACAATTCTGAATTTAAACATTTGATAAATTTAAGATTTCTGATAGTAATAGCATATGATTACTAATATGGAACCAACAAAATTAAATGAATCCAGTTAAACTACAGTCATGTCTTTGTAGAAAAGGGAAAAATGCTAGCAATATGAACAAAATGAAGTAATCCTTAGTATCCTGATATGTAATATTGCATCATTTTATATTTTCAGTTTGATCCAGAGTTAGTAATAGTATCAGCTGGCTTTGATGCTGCATTAGGTTGTCCAGAGGTAGGCCTTACTTAAAACATCAGGTTGTTGAATAAAATACTCTTATCTTAATCTTCTTAGCTTATATTATGTTTTTGAAAAAATTAAAAGAAGGAGGCAGGTTGTAATGATTGTTATGATGTACTGTTGTCCCCCAGTCTGTCCTTCTGTCTGACTTCCAAGCATATTTCACTTTTGATCAGTATAAAAATAAGAAGATGTGGTATGATTGCCAATGAGACAACTATGCAGCAAAGTTCAAATAAAGTAAATGTATGCATTTCAGCAACCATACGGACTTCAAGAATGAGAAAACAATCATACAGTATCGCCACAAGAAAAAAAAGTAATAGTTCTTCAGATTTTTAAGATGAAAATAGAGGGGCAGTGAGTGAGCGATTTTTTTGGAAAATGACGCTATCAGCGGCATGTTTCTGATACCATTGACCAGAACTTACGGAAGTCGATTATTGCCTCCACCTACCGCACTCGGTTTCATATTTACTATTCTACATACTAACTGGAATCTGCTTGTATTACGCTACACTCGACCAAAGTGTTGTAGTTCGGACGGGAACCAGTTTACATACTTTATTTTATTTACCAAAAAGATATCTTGACCTGTCCATATGTTTTTTGTTATTAAATAGTATTTGGAGCTATCCCTTTGTTATATTTTTCATATTTATTCGAGCTTTCATTTTTATGCACATGTCTTACAATCGTAAACAATCGGTATGTATACATGATAAATAGATCCGTTTTGTTATGGTGTTGGACTTTTTACCCTCCAATGATCAGCAATCGCTAGACAAAATAGTTCTCCTAAATAATGTCAGCCTTTCATGCCATTTCATCTTTACAATCATTAAAAAAAGTGAAAATCGGAATCATTTTAATATCCATTGGATAGAAACTGGTCTCTATCCAGATTTACGAAGATTTAAAAAATTGGAAATTAGTAATACGGTTATACCCACTCGGTGCGTATGAATCTTTGTTTACAAAACAGGATTTCGGAACGTCACTAGTTTTTAGATCGTAAGTCACGATAAACTCAAACTGAAAGTAAACAGTTGTTTGTAAGACGCAGGTTTACTCACCATAAACAAGCTGAAACGTTCAGTATGGCATATATTTTAGGTTAAAGACGGTCCCATTCATTTAAAAAGCATTTTGAAAGTAGACGATGGGATTATTTCAGGTTTGGGGAACGAGTAAATTATCACAAAGTTCATTTCTTGACGAACTCATAATTTCATCATGTCGATGGTACAAATCGTTTTTTACTGTTTACTGTCGCTTCTCATGTTTTGTATTTAAACGGTCGTTTATTTTTAAACCCGAACCAGGCATATGCATTCTATAATTGTGCAAATCTTCGTTCTTTGGTCAATTGGCTTATGGATAGTTGTATCAATTTCAACTCTTACATTATTTTTTTTTAAATATATTTGCATTACACATGCAATGGCAGTACCTTTCCAATTACTATTTATGTGTTGTGTCTAAATTAAAGTTGTAACACTTTATAGTGACTGGAAAGGGTAGAAAAATTCATCATATGAGAAAAGGCTGAAGATACTTCAAACGGCACCTAATCATTAGATATTGCATCTTATAAAAGGAAACTGAGATTTGGATAGTTCCACTTCAAGGTAAAAATGTTTATCTCTTGTGAAATGAAATAAAAAAAATATTGTAACACTGTAGTTAATTAATAAAGATACTATTACGTGTATTTCTGTATTGGCCTTATTATTGGTTCTCGGCCAGCAGTCAAACGGCACCGAATCATTAGATATTGCATCTTATAAAAGGAAACTGAGATTTGGATAGTTCCACTTCAAGGTAAAAATGTTTATCTCTTGTGAAATGAAATAAAAAAAATATTGTTACATTGTAGTTAATTAATAAAGATAATATTACGTGTATTTTTGTATTGGCCTTATTGTTGGTTCTCGGCCAGCAGTCAAACGGCACCGAATCATTAGATATTGCATCTTATAAATGGAAACTGAGATTTGGATAGTTCCACTTCAAGGTAAAAATGTTTATCTCTTGTGAAATGAAATAAAAAAAATATTGTAACACTGTAGTTAATTAATAAAGATACTATTACGTGTATTTCTGTATTGGCCTTATTATTGGTCCTCGGCCAGCAGTATTGGCCTTCCGCTTTGCCTCAGACCAATACACCCATGACATGGACCAATAACAAGGCCAATACAGAAATACTTACGCAATAATATTATAGAATGACAGTATGGTTCAATAGCGGGAATCAGCCCCTCAACTACTTTTTACATAAATATTAACTTCTGGCTTCAACGCTTTGTTAGTCTTGTCTGGAGATCTTGCTGTAGTTCCAGTTCAGCAAGCATTTTAGAGATGTATCCCGTCCATCTTCTTTTGACTTGTAAGCTCTGGTGATAGATTTTGCTGCTTGACATTGTATCCTTTCAAGCTTTTTTTTTTTGTTACCGTGTAGGGGTCCCATACTATGGCTCCATATTAAATTATAAGATCCATTCCTAAAGATCTAGATCATTGTTCTAATCTGACACAAATTTCAATAACTGGAATGCTACCCAAGTTGAATATATGGTGACCCAAGAGAACAGCATTATCACTATTGAAATTGTGTTTAATACCATGATTGTTCAATGTCATTAACTTAAATGGAGACAGACATTTGACCTGAAAGACATGAAAGGTGGTGTGGGAGTGCAAAATCAAAAACTAACTGACTATGATATTTGGTTAAAGAATGAATATCAATTACATGGGTCAACATGGTCAAGGGCAGAGTTGTTATAAAATAACAATATGGCAGAGAAGTGGTTTCAAGTTTCATATAAAGCGACCTGACTGACATGAAATAAAAAATCGAAGGAGTATCCCTATTTGTCTAATCTTCAAGGTGAAATAAAACTAGTAAAACAATATTATACTATTGTCTAAATATACAGAAATATAATTTGCTTCAAGTAACAGAAATGACTAGGTCACTAGTAACTTATTTAATGAGTATGTGGGGTATAAGAGCTTGCTAACAACAGGCGTCTTCATAATCATTTGGTTTGAAAAGGATACTAGTAGTCTATATTCTTGATTTAGAAAAATGTAATTGCAAGAAAAAAATCACATTACTTAGAATACTTTAGATCATTCAGGTAGTCTTTATTTATATGTACAAAAGAACAGCCAGTAGTCATTGGATATTGTAGATCATTCAAATAGTCTTGACCTTTTTATTAGTACAAAAGAACAGCCAGTAGTCATTGGATATTGTAGATCATTCCAGTAGTCTTGACCTATTTATTTATACAAAAAAACATCCAGTAGTAATTGGATACTGTAGATCATTCAGGTAGTCTTGACCTATTCATTTGTACTGAAAAACAGACACATATACGAATATCAATTATATGCTTACGAGACATGTTGCAATGTTAAACTTATTACGATATGTGAAAATCAAGACTTGCATAAAAAAATATCACAATATTAGAGACAGTGGCGTCATTTTTCCTCAGAGCTTTCAGCTCTTTGATTTTTAATGAATCTGATGGCGCCAATTATTTTTAAGTGTCTGATAATGAATTTCCAAAATAAACAGCATAACTAAGATTCAAAGGTATCCTTGTTTGTCATTTATGTCCTTCCTGTTTTAAGCAAACTTAAAATTAATCAGAGCCACTAAGAAATTGCTTAACATTCATTATAAGCAAAGATGGGAAACCTTTGATTTTAAAATAGTCCTCACATTATATAGAATAGATTCAATGTTATGATACCATCAAATTTACTTCCAGCTTTTGTGTTTGAGCCTATGATTTCAAAGGGAAGAAATTAAATTATTTCAATAATCCTGCACTTATTTACTCAAGGGGACCCATTCCATATAGCCAATACTAAATTAACTCTAATCCTAGATCTGAAACCTAAATCATATCCTAACCTCGTCCAAATAAATATGACATTTTGAAAGGCTTTTTCAATTTTTTGCTGTCACAGCAAAAAATTGAAATAGCCTTTCAAGATGTCATAATTATTGGACTAATCCTAACCATAAACCGAGCTCTAGGCCACATCTGATATACAGGGCCTCGTACAAAAAAATAATTAAAAATCCATTGAACATATTCAAAATTGAACAACATCTTTTATTTAATCAGGTAAATTACTCGACATGCCAACAATGATTCGGGTTTTCCCCTTTCCATTTGACTCCAAACATTGAAGTTGAACCACAGCTTTTAACTATGTCTTGTTGTTTCTGCTTACAAACCAGTTTTATCCAGGGTCTGCATACGAATAGTGTTTGGCTTTGGCACTTTTAAATTTCGCTAAAAAAAATTGACATTGTCGATAAAAATCATAATTTTGAGTCAAATTGTACGTTGTCAACTAAAAAATCTCAATTTGATAAGCACCAGTAATGTTCTTGGAAAACTAACATCTGGAAATATGCGGGACTAAAAAAAATTCCAAGCAAAATATAACAAAAAACGAAATCGGAAATTTGGAGCAGTGATTCCAACGAAAAAGAGTTTAATTTGGTATGACCTAAATATGATACCCACATTAGAGTATATATGATTAACACATTATATTGATTGTATTTTCAGGGTGAGATGGAAGTTACACCTGTATGTTTTGCTCATTTTGTTAATTTATTTTCATCGTTGGCTGGTGGAAAACTTTGTCTAGTATTGGAGGTAACTACTATATTGGTCTATCTGTTGTTTCAACTGTTTCTTTTTTATTTATATATACTCAAAAATAATTTTTACAAACCAGGTGTTACAAGACACAGAATTGTCTATTAGTATATTTTGGTTTATTTTATCATAGTTTTGTCATCAATTGTTCTTGTTTTCTCTCGATATGAACACTTATAATATTTTTTTACAATTTGATTTGGTTGAAATATATAAAAAAAATCATGAAAACAAAAAATACTTGTGTTTATATCATCAGAAAATGAAAATACCTACAACAAATACATATAACCAAATAAACAAATGAGCCTGTGAAAAACCTGCTTCTATTGGTACCAAGTTGAATGAAATCTGACCAGAAATGACTGCACAACATTATTTTGAAAAAACATAGTTTTATATGAAATATATAGTGAAAAATCACAAGTGATGAATTCTTATGGCCATGCACTGTACAAATTTGGTTTTTAGTGATATTGCTAATAGAGTGATATAACAGTTTCATGGAAAAGAAATGGGATATGACCAGGAGGTTAAACAATCACTAAAACTTATGTGCATGATTATTTATTGGCTTGCACACTTTACTTAGGAATGGAATTAAATACAAAAAAAATACAAAATTCACAATGTCAAGATTTTATCTATAGATTGATTTTTCCGGGGGTTAACATTATCAAAAGATTTATTGTCATAGTTACATATGGTGAAGAGAGGTGGAAGATATCAAATGAGAAATCCAAAACCATTAGTCAAATGGGATTTCTGTCAACACAAAATATCTTACAGTTTACTTTGGAATTGTACAAACTTGATATAATTACCTCTACCATCTGAATATTGCCTCCTAACTAGGAATAATTTTGGGTTAAAAATAGCACAACACTGCCATTTCTACATATGAGGAAGTATATCAGCATCAAATCGTCAAAAGTGTGTCTTAAAACTTCTTACTTGCTTCAAAATGTGCAATTATAAATGTCAAAGGTTTATGTGGATAAGAACAGAACAAAGAATATTTAAGTAACATCATCGTCAATTATTAAGGGGGGCCTTGGTGGCGGAATGGTCAGAGTTGTTTATCTATTGTGTCACTTGCCTGTCAGCATTGAGGTGAGTTCTAACCCCTCATGTGGCAGGTGCATTAGACTCCAATCTTAATTGACAAGGATTGTCAGTTTTCCTGCCAAAAATGGTTGGTTCTCTTCAGGCGCTCCAGATTCCTCCACCAAAAAAATACTGATACCACAATATAGCTAATAGTGCTGAAAGTGTGGAAAACACCAACAGTCAATCAATCAATCAATTATTAAGGTATTTAGCATGTATGTTTTTCTGTTTTTTCCAGGGAGGTTACTGCATAGACACATTAGCTGAAGGTGTAGCCTTGTCATTAAAGACGTTGCTTGGAGATCCTTGTCCATTGTTAGAACCATTAGGAAGTCCACATCCAAGGTACAGTATGAAATTTTAGTTATTCTCATTAAGGACTCTGCTCGGAGATCCTTGTTCATTGTTAGACCTCTTACCAAAACCACATCCAATGTACAATATGATGGTGTAGCTTTCTAACTTAGGAGACTGCTAGGAGATTCTTGTCCTTTATTAGAAAGGAGTAGGGCCACGAAGGGTTAAAAACGGCCCTATCTCAGAAATTGACGAAATTACTGCAGAATGATCACTAACTAGTGTAGTTCATAAAACGATAACCATTAGACTTGTAACTGTGTTTGTATAGTTTTCCAGGGCGTCAGAAAAGACCAAGGTACAATGGTATTTTAGCCATTTGCGCGTAACGTTAAAATTGTTTTCATTAACGTTCTAGTAACTTTATAATCATTTTACCACAAGAATTTTTTTACAAAATATTTCTTGAATCTCGTCCATATATCTTGTTTTTTTTAACTCTATTAACAGAAACTTACTAATATTAAGGTTTAAGTTGCACATAAGCGCTTCAATTAAATTTTGTATAGGTGGCCCGAATACTCGTTTTCTGTATTGATATTCACGAAATAGAAATTGCAGAGACTATGTAAACAAACATAATTCCACAGCATAGTTTAAATTAAAAGTCCTAAAGGAATTTAAAACATATGCAATGAATGTCTTCTATTGAGCAGAAGGAATTTAGATTGAAAGCTGTAAAATATCTTGGCGAGCGAAGTACAGTCGTAAAAAAGTATAAGAATAGTTGATCACACCACATCATCTTATTTGTATATGGAAAGAAAACCGTGATTCACTTAAACACAGAAAATTTTATTTTCTAGTAACGAAGTAAAAGATGAAAACACAGATAAAGATAAACATCATGTATAGACAGTACATATCATTACATGTACTTCAATAATCATAGAACACATTATAATTGTACAAAAGTCATCAGACACAGTGTTCCAGCTAGGATTTCAAAAGGGCAGGGTGCCAATCCTGAAAAAGGGCATTTAACTCTTGATATGATAATATGAAAAGGGCATGTTTTAATAAAGATTATAATCAAACATTTTTTGTTCATTGAATCACTGGTTTTATATATACAAGAACAACATCATAAGCCCAGAGAAAAACTATCTTTCTACTTTTTAGGCTGAAAACTTGTCAAGCAGCTTGTCACACAAGTTTTAAATCATTGCTTGGCACAGTTAAGCTTCATATGCAGTATTGTTTGAAAAATGTCCTGCTTCATTCTGTTTCTATGGTCTGACACACTTTACAAGTTTAACCTTTCTACCTTTTCTGTGCTTAATGTCAATACAGCACAAAACAGCTGTAAATGCACAATGTTAGGATATAGTGAACAGTGAAAATTTGGATTGAAAATAAAAAATACAGAAAAAGATGACCAAGGCACCCTACCAACCCTGCTACTAAGACCCTCTTTAACTTTTCCTATAACTCAAAACACCTAAACATATAAATTCTAAAGCCAGAAGTATGAAGACATATTTTATAATATCTTAGTAGGTTACTCAATGCTAGGAAAAAATAAGATTGAGTTATCTTTCTTTATTTGGGTGTGCTCCTTCTTTGGAGGATAATAAACAGTACACGTACGTAGAAGATGTAAATACGATCAACAATATGGCGGTCGATTTTGTTATTTTCGTATAAAAAATGAAGGCAGTCAATGAAAAATACGTCTTAATTTGCTATTTATTTCACGGAAAACAATAATAGCAATGTTTTTAACGAGTTGATTATGGTTTTCGACTTTCTGTCAATTACGTTTTCTCCATGAAACTACGGTAAACATTGCCCAAGTTGTATGAACATTTCTTCAAGTTCAAAGACAAATGCCGACTGACCGATTCTATTTGAATGAATTAATGTTGATGATCATTAAATGACCTATCCGATAAACGGATTACCTATAACAACATATTATTACACCTGTTGTAACCGTTGATTAGCTTGGGGTCGTAAACAAAGTCATATACTTGTCGCCAGGTAAATTTTCGTAATTGGCTGATCATATCAATACGAACAAAATAATATACCAATCGATCTTCAAAAAAGGCAGGGCGCCCTGCAAACTGTAAAAAGGGCACAGGGTGGCACTCAGGAAAGGGCGGGTGGACCGCCCTGTGAAAACGACCTAGCTGGAACACTGAGACACCAGAACCACATGTGCACTCATAAACAGCATTCTCATTCCGGAGGATTACATGCTTACTCTCAAGGCAACATTCATAATTAAACACTTGAATTAACAACAGTTTCATATAATACTGCCATTCATTCGTCACTGACCACATTACATAGTACTGCTATCTCTAATTGTACCTAAAGCGCATGAAATATGTAGTCATCTGTAAAAATTGAAATATGATTCTTTTAAATGGTTCAATGAATCCTTTTTATATTTTCCCAGAACTTTTTTACTTGACAAAGTAATAGTTTAAAGGCAGTGGCTATTTTGCCGGCGCCGCCAAAATTGAAAATATTATATTTTGCCAACTTTCGGTAAGCGGAAGCCAGCATGCCAGTAAAAAAAGATTTTGATTACAGATATGCAATTCAAAACTGACTATTATTTCAAAACTAAATTTAATTGAAACATTTTTTATTTTGAAGCTATGTGATTGATTTTTTTAGACTGTATAGCGTTTTTATCAAATCGATATGCTATGAGATTTTTGTCTTTCATTCTTTTTACAGCATAGTTTAAAAATCTGAGATTTTATTCTTATGCATACATGTAGCATTAGACTGATTTTAGAAGTAATTTCAACTACATGTTTTGATATGATTTCATTGCTACAAATGGATGCTCAATAGTTTTTATTTTAATTCCTTTTTACAAATTCTTATATTCACTTGGACTCATAAATATTTTTAAACGATTATATGTATCTTAAATATTGTGACATTTATAATATTCAACTACATAACGAATAATAGTTTAATTCTTTTATGTTGACAATGCACATTTTCGTAGTCTTTTTCATTTAATTATGTTTAAAGTCATTATTGTACTGTAACTTTGGAGAGATATGATTGATAGTTGTTTGACGAACGTCCAGTGGCAAATACTTCATGCATATTTATGACTGAGAGCAATTTAGAGAATCTATTTCAAACAGGAAACAAGAAATCGCATGTATTGTCATTGAACATAAGAGAAAATTCTCCAAAAAAGGGAAAGGGGGGGGGGGGGGGGCAATAAAGAATCATAAGACCAATAAAATCATACAACACCATGAACACATAAAGGCGACATAAAAAAACCAGCAATAAAAAATATAAAAACAGGTAACTACAGATTGAACACGAACTTCGGGCTACCACAAGAAACGAAAAATCAGAAATATAAAGATATCTCATAGATAATGTATTCTTAGTAAGCAGCCATTTTTGTTGGTCGCTTGTTACATAGTCTCACTCAAATTTAAAAGAGACCACCAAAAAGGGTTCCAAATAAACAATTGCTCCCTGTATGCATTCTGACCAATTATGCACGCTATCCCGCGTGAGTATCAGATATTTATTTGAATGTACGCAAGCTATATGATTGTGTTGGATAGTTTTGTTTCATCTTTATTTCAGTTTTCATTGAAAACAAATATTTGTTCTGGTTGAATGTCACGGACAGTATACACCATGCCCTCTCATGGCGTCGTAATTTTATTTTAATTAAAGAAATATTGAAAAGCTTATTTAACCACTGTGCAATATGATATCAAAATTCTCACGTGGTTTCTTCTTATGTCCTACGATTTTCTATGTATGTTATTGTTCACAGTTCTGTTATCTATTTACACCATCCGTAGTAATTATTTAAAATGTTAACTTAGCATGCCATATACATGATAGAAAATGCGGACGTGAAAGAAAGCACTTCATCAAAGCGTCAACATGAGATTACATTCCGTAGAGGTAACATTACGACAATTTCGTCTTTAGAAAATAAAATACGTGTATCTAAAAGGAAATTTGTATTGAATTTTTATGTTGACACCCATATCGATCTGCTGGATGTAGAATTTTACGGAAAAAAACTACGGCTCTAATTTGAAACTGTCAGATGTTTGTTTGCATAGCACAGATCGGGCTAATTATTACAAAATAACGTGGAAATGAACTTTAAAATAATTTGCAAATTCATATTTTTTATTTCCACCAATTTGTCTTGTTTTCTAATAAAAAACAGTTATGATGGCGTATCTATCCGCGTTTAAAAACCTCGCTGGATCGGCGGTTAACGAAGCATCGCTAAAAACAAATTTAAAGACTTGTTTTTCCATTTTCTTCTTTTTTGTTTGTTATAAATAAAAAATTAATAAATCATAGAATTTATTCTATTGATAGCAATTGTACAAGTTCTTGGTACAGTTATTTCGTCACAGAGATCTATCGTACCTCGGAAATGGCGTGGCGTTGAATCAGGATTTGCTTCTTAGCAAAAGTTAAATTTTCGATGTGGCCACAGGCCTCGACCACGCTAAATATTGTTGCAAACTGAGTCAAAGTGTGAAACAATCAAAATAAGAGTAAAATTACTTTGGTCGAGGCCTGTGGCCAATGCGAAATTTAACCAGGAAGTGTGAAAATCTTTAAGAATTTGGACATTTTGAGTGTTCCGGTTTGATTCCGGGTATTACGTCACATTAATGACGTCACAAAAATATGATTTTATACTATAATAACAAATAACGATATACGTAGATATGTTTTAGCTAAAAAGGATCCACCTTATTTCTCTTTTATTTTTTGTCACCCCACAGGGCCAATATCGGCACTTCGTGGCCATACTCCTTTTAAGAGAACCTCATCTTAAGAACAGTATTGTTGGTGTAGGTTTTTCATGAAGAATATTGCCAGTTGATCATTATTGATTATTGATTATTGGTTGCATAATGTCCTGACAATTATTTCATGCATGTTCAGGATGATTCATGATTAGAAATTTAGAACCACATAGAATGTACATTATAAAGGCGTAGTTTTTTCTTAAAATAATTGCTAGCAGATTCTTGTCCATTGTTAGAACCAGTTACAACTTCAATTTCAAAATTCACATTTTGTCAAGTTTCACGGTTAAAAAGTTTACACGACTGATGGTTTACAAGTTTGTGGATGTCTTAGTGATAAATAAGATTCAATTATCAATCAGCTGTTGTGTGATACTTAATCCCTTAATTTAACTTATCAACATATTTTATAGGAGTAACATGACGGGTGTCACATGTTGAGATGGATCTGCTAACCCTTCTGGAGTACCATAGATCACTCCAGGTTTTTTTTGGGGTTGGTGTTGCTCAGTCTTTTGTTTTCTATGTTGTGTTTTGTAGACTGTTATTTTTCTTTTTCGTCTTATTTTCATTTTTTGTCATGGCGTTTTCAGTTTGTCATCTAATTGTCTATCAAGTTGACCTCCGAAAACCTCCGATGGCCTTATAAGGAATATAAACATAAATATAGATATAAATAGATTAAGCGAACTCGTGCAATTGGATTTTTCTAGGTCTACTTAATTTCATATTATAGATTAAAAATATATATTAATCATGGTTTTTACCTGTTTTTTGGATCGAATCTGTCAATCAAATGATTTACCTTTGTTTCACTTTCAATGTTGACATTCTTTTCCTTTAAATAACTGATCACATACGATGCATGCATTATCCATCTCTAGCTAAGGGGTTAAATTGAAGTTCACATGAATACGAATTCAATGAGGTCAAATTATTCACTTGCAAGTGAATAATTCATCATCAATGTTTCTTAGCTTATTTTGACAAAATTGAACCATACTTGAAGCGAATTATTATTTCACTATTTCACTTTCATTTAATGATTGAACAAAAAAAATAATACTTTAGATTTTTATACGACCGCAAAAATTAAAAATTTTTTGGTCGTATATTGGTATGACGTTGGCGTCGTCGTCCGGCGTCGTCCGAAGACACATTGGTTTTCGCACTCTAACTTTAGTTTAAGTGAATGGATCTCCATGAAATTTTACCATAAGGTTCTATACCACGAAAGGAAGGTTGGGATTGATTTTGGGGGTTATGGTACCAACAGTTAAGGAATTAGGGGCCAAAAAGGGGCCAAAAATAAGCATTTTTGTAACTTCCAGACAATAACTTGTGTGTAAGTGTATGGATCTCTCTGACATTGTACCACAAGGTTCCATATCACAAAGGGAAGGCTGTAATTGATTTTGGGGGTAATTGCCTCAAAATTTTAGGAATTAGGGGCCAAAAAAGGGGCAAAAAACAAGCATTTTTCTAGTTTCATGACAATAACTTGTGTGTAAGTGTTTGGATATTTCTGAAATTGTACTACAAGGTTCCATATCACAAAGGGAAAGCTGGAATTGAGTTTGGGGGTAATTGCCTGAAACGTTTAGGAATTGGGGGCCAAAAAGGGGCCAAAAAACACATTTTTAGCGCACCTGACCTGAAAGGTCAAGTGAGCTTTTCTCATCACTTGGCGTCCGTCGTCCGTCGTCCTGCGTCCGTCGTCCGTCGTCCGTAAACTTTTACAAAAATCTTCTCCTCTGAAACTACTGGGCCAAATTTGACCAAACTTGGCCACAATCATCATTGGGGTATCTAGTTTAAAAAATGTGTCCGGTGACCCGGCCAACCAACCAAGATGGCTGCCATGGCTAAAAATAGAACATAGGGGTAAAATGGAAGATTTTGGCTTATATCTCTGAAACCAAAGCATTTAGAGCAAATCTGACACGGGGGTAAAATTGTTTATCAGGTCAAGATCTATCTGCCCTGAAATTTTCAGATGAATCGGACAACCCGTTGTTGGGTTGCTGCCCCTGAATTGGTAATTTTAAGGAAATTTTGTCGTTTTTGGTTATTATCTTGAACATTATTATAGATAGAGATAAACTGTAAACAGCAATAATGTTCAGCAAAGTAAGATCTACAAATAAGTCAACTTGACCAAAATGGTCAGTTGACCCTTTAAGGAGTTATTGCCCTTTATAGTCAATTTTTAACCATTTTTTGTAATTTTTTGTAATTTTTTTATAAAAATCTTCTCCTCTGAAACTACTAAGACAAATTTAACCAAACTTGTCCACAATCATCATTAGGGTATCTAGTTTAAAAAATGTGTCCGATGACCCCGCCCGCGAACCAAGATGGCCGACATGGCTAAAAAATAGTACATAGGGTAAAATGCAGTTTTTGGCTCATATCTCTGAAACCAAAGCATTTAGAGCAAATCTGATGAGGATAAAATTGTTCATTAGGTCAAGATCTATCTGCCCTGAAATTTTCAGACCAATCAGGCAACCCGTTGTTGGGTTGCTGCCCCTGAATTGGTAATTTTAAGAAAAATTTGCAGCTTTTGGTTATTATCTTGAATATTGTTATAGATAGAGATAAACTGTTAACAGCAATAATGTACAGCAAAGTTAGATCTGCAAATAAGGCAGCATGACCAAAATTGTCAATTGACCCCTTAAGGAGTTATTGCCCTTTATAGTCAATTTTTTACAATTTTCATAAATTTTGTAAATTTTTGTAAATTTTTACAAAGTATTTTCCACTGTAACTACCGGGCCAAGTTCATTATAGATAGAGATAATAGTAAGGAGCAAGAATGTTCAGTAAAGTAAGATCTACAAACACATCACCATCACCAAAACACAATTTTGTCATGAATCCATCTGTGTCCTTTGTTTAATATGTACATAGACCAAGGTGAGCGACACAGGCTCTTTAGAGCCTCTAGTTCTAGTTTCCAGACAATAACTTGTGTTCAAGTGTATGGATCTCTCTGAAATTGTACTGCAAGGCCATACCACAAAGGGAAGGCTGGGATTGAGTTTGGGGGGTAATGAATCATAAGGGAGTTCAAAAAATTTGGGGGGGGGGGGGTTCTTTTTTTTTCTTTTTTTCCTTTTTTTTTTCTTTTAAAATTTTCCATTTTAAGTTGGTTATTTCTGATTTATATTTAAAAGCAAATAATAATGATATGGTAGGAGATACACACCAAACAGGATGTGTAAATTATTATATAATAAGTATTGTGCAATAGCAAGAAATTTTCAATTGCACAGTATTGCACAATAGCAAGAAATCTTCAATTGCACAGTATTGCGCAATAGCAAGAAATCTTCAATTGCACAGTATTGGGCAATAGCAAGAAATATCCAATAGCACAATATTGCGCAATAGCAAGAAATTGTCAATTGTACATTATTGCGCAATAGCAAGAAATATTCAATTGCACAGTATTGTGCAAAAGAAGATACTTTGTATAAATTGCTTATTTCTTGATCAATTTCAATGGGGTTTTATTCTTGAATTCTTGGGGTTCTTTAATATGCTGAATCTAACCGTGTATTAAGTTTTTGGATTTTGGGCCCCGTTTTTAAATTGGTCCACACTGAGGTCCAAAGGGTCCAAAATTTAACTTTGTTTGATTTCATCAAAAATTGAATTATTGGGGTTCTTTGATATGCCGAATCTAACCGTGTATTTAGATTCTTAATTTTTGGTTCCGTTTTCAAATTGGTCTACATTATGGTCCAAAGGGTCCAAAATTAAACTTAGTTTGATTTTAACAAAAATTGAATTTTTAGGGTTCTTTGATATGCTGAATCTAAACATGTATTTAGATTTTTGATTATGGGCCCAGTTTTCAAGTTGGTCCAAATCGGAGTCCAAAATTAAACTTTGTTTGATTTCAACAAAAATTGAATATATGGGGTTCTTTGATATGCTGAATCTAACCATGAATTTAGATTTTTGATTTTTGGGCCCCGTTATCAACTTTGTCCACATTGAGGTCAAAAGGGTCCAAAATTAAACTTTGTTTGATTTCATCAAAAATTGAATTCTTGGGGTTCTTTGATATGCTGAATCTAACCATGTATTTAGATTTTGGATATTGGACCATAATAGGTGAATGTCCAATTTAAAATTTTTAAGTTCTTAGACCACATTCATTCTGTGTCAGAAACCTATGCTGTGTCAAATATTTAATCACAATCCAAATTCAGAGCTGTATCAAGCTTGAATGTTGTGTCCATACTTGCCCCAACTGTTCAGGGTTCGACCTCTGCGGTCGTATCAAGCTGCGCCCTGCGGAGCATTTTATTTACATATCTCGTAGCTAGTTCTAGTGCCCCTTTAATTGTCTTGCTTACAAACAAAAATCAGTTTGCAGCATTATTGTCTAATCTTTTATAATTCTACATATCTATTTTTTAATCTACAAAAATTGTAATAAATAAACACTCAATACTAACATACATTTACTTTGTTAAGGATACTGTAAAATTGCAATATAAATCAAGAAATCATATATGCTTCAAACACGTGCGTTGCTAAAACGATTGTGAAGTACCCACTTCAAAACAATTATTTCTATCAAAGTTAAAAAAAATCCCTTATATATGTGACATGTGACGCAATTTAACTACACAATTTTATTAAACAATTCAATGAACACCTTTATTAATTAGTCCATCGTTGCTGATTGCTATAAAATGCAATCAGCTGATTACTGATTTTCTGTCAAAATCCTAACGCATGAGTTCAAGGTGAAACCCCAGTATTGTCTGGTCAGGGGAAAAGTCTGAGAAACAAGAAAAAAATTATTCAAGATGGATGAAATGAAAACGTTATATTACTTTATATTACTTTCACCAAATTCTTTCTCATGTGCCTGTCCTCAGTCAGGATCCTGTAATTGAGTGGTTGTTGTTTTTTGCTGTAAAACATATTTGTTTTTTGTTTATTGTTTTGTACAGATTGATTTAGTGTTGTGCTGTTACAACTTTGTCTAGGGTTAGGGTGAGGGTTGTACGCACATTCTGTATGTGCCTGTCCTCAGTCCAGAGCCTGTAATTCAGTGGTAATTTTTGTTGCTGTATATTATTTTTGTTTTTTGGTAGAGTCTTAACAATTGTAATGAAACCAATATTCACATTATACCTTATATTCAATGTTATAAATGTTTGTTTCAGGACTAGAGAATCAATATTAAATGTGATTAAAACATTAAGACCACATTGGAAATGTTTACAGTTTCAAGGACAGTTGTCAGATTCTGTAGTGTCTGAATTCAAGGGTGTGCTTGATTGGCCTCCTCAGTAAGTATGAAATATCACAGTATAACCTTACAATGAGTTTCAAGGGTGTGCTTGATTGGCCTCCTCAGTAAGTATGAAATATCACAGTATAACCTTACAATGAGTTTCAAGGGTGTGCTTGATTGGCCTCCTCAGTAAGTATGAAATATCACAGTATAACCTTACAATGAGTTTCAAGGGTGTGCTTGATTGGCCTCCTCAGTAAGTATGAAATATCACAGTATAACCTTACAATGAGTTTCAAGGGTGTGCTTGATTGGCCTCCTCAGTAAGTATGAAATATCACAGTATAACCTTACAATGGGTTTCAAGGGTGTGCTTGATTGGCCTCCTCAGTAAGTATGAAATATCACAGTATAACCTTACAATGAGTTTAGTCAGCCAAATGGACACCATTTTTAAGGAAAAAATACTAGAGTAGAATAAGGAAATTGATATGTCTGGTCCCAAACTAGCAAGTTGGAACCAACTATTAGCAAAATTGGTCTCTCATGGTCACCTTTCAAAATCATACTAAATTACCCTTACTATTAAACGTAATGATCAAAAGAGTTGTTGTGGAATAAGTCATCAATTGTTATAAAAATTTGTCGAATTTATCTGAGCAGACCAATCTTCAGCAGATTATTTCAGTAGAAGAGTAAGTTTCACATTTTTGATAACCATCATCCAACATTTATTATATTCTTGGTCATTACTGAAGTTATTCATTTTGAAATGTAAATCTTTAAACAAAATAAAAAAAAAAAAATTTTTTTAAACCTGGGTTAATTTTCACCAAATATGGCTTGCATAATTGTAGAGATTAAAAAATCCTCTTACTTCTCAACATATATATAACCATTTAAGGAAATTTGGACGCTAGCATTATCTTAAATGGCTAAAGTATTCATAATTAGATAATTTTTTAAAACTAGTTGTTGTAATCTAGACCCATCTTTGATCCATTGAAAATACTATGGAAGTAAAAATGCTCACTCTTTTCCATTTTGATGCCATTGATACTTAATAAAGATAACAGCTATGATTAATTTTTTGGCTTACACTGACATGAAATAAATGTTCATGTTGTACAAATTAAAATTATGAGTAGAAATTTTTTAAATAAGTTTTGACTCTTTTTTTCTGTATTTAAGTTAACATTTCGTTCATCATATCAGCAAAAACACCCTCTTGTATAAGTAGTAATAACATAAATGGTACCAATTTTACTGCAACAGATACACATTTCGACAATTAATGTCTCTTCAGTGATACTCTATGGACAAAATAACACACGTGAATAATGGTAAAAGTTTAAAATTTCAAAGTATTATATTTTCAAAGTCCTTCATTTCGAAGTAGAATTACAATAGCAGTCTTACAATGTGTAACTTAGCATCCCTCCTGTCATATTGTATTATACCATTGTCACACACAGAACCAATCCACAGTTGTCCCCTGGTATCTATATCAAGTGACATTGGGAATATGATCCCCTGATCTACCATAACTCTACATGCTAGCTGGTCTCCTTCAGAAGATAGTACATGTAAAGCATGTGTCGTTAAATCAGCAACTATCACATGACCTGCTGAAGTTGTTACAATATCCATAGGATTTAATGAACGCTCCTCTACATTAACCTGAGGGTTTCCATGGTACGTCCACTTAATATGTCCCTCCCTGTTTAAAACTACCACCCTCCCTTGAGTTTTAGAGAACATATCTAGAACCAGTAAGTCATTGTTGATATTTGATGTGACTCTGGCAGGTACTGTAAATAGTCTGTGATTATGTCTGTCAAATTCATAAGTTTGCCTTTGTATCCTATCCATACCAAAAATTAGCACTTTTCTCCTGCTTGCTTCAGTAAGGTTGAATATAGCATTCATGTCATCGTTTTGTTCAATGACACCAAGAACAATCTCGTTGTGCTGTGTTACATGTATGCCATGTGGAAACAGTGGAGCTACTGATAGCAAGTGTTGTAATCCTGTGTTGGCTAACATGTAGACATCGGTACTATTGTTGTCCCTTATAGTTAGGAGAATATCTCCACTTTGTGTTCTTGTCATGTCATGAACTGAAGCTCCATTCAAAGTTCTGATATCTACCATGTCTATGTCATTGATATTTATTATATTTAAAGCTGGTATCAGAATGTTTGATATCAATGCTGTCTGATTGTCCAGTGTCAACACTCTGTCAACACACATTAAATTAGTAGAATAAGTCTTAATGACTTTTATGTTGACTTCAGGTAACAATGCCATCTGATGCAAAATTGAAAGCTGTAAAATGAAAATTTTTAAAAATGAAGCAAAGTGGCATTCATCTTGCATATTCCTTCACTGTTGTTGTGTCATTAATATAATGGTGTGAAAGAAATGTATTTCAAATATAAATTAAATGTCAATTTTCAGTACTTAATTTTGTATATTAAGTGGTTCTGTTGTTTTGGGCTTTTTACATCTTCCAAATTATACCGATTTAATGTTTTGCAAATTTGGAAATTATTGCAAGGTTTTTATTAATGCAAATATTGTCTAATACATATGTATATATGAGGCTTTTCCTGAAATCGCAATAATTAATCTCGCATTTTTGTTCAGCCTTCAAAAATTGCATTAATAAATGCACACAATAATTTTTGAATTTACAGTAATTGAAAATATATTTTTTAAGTTTCAACTTGCAAATCTTACATTAAAAAAGTATAATTTTCTTATACATTCTATGCAGAAATTGAAACTCTGACATTTTACCTTTGACTAAATCCGTAAACGTAAAAATGGAGAAACCTGATTTATCATTGCTTTATGTTACTAACCTAACGTATGTAATGAAATGAATCCTAGTATATGTGATTATCCTTGGTGCAAAGTTTTATATTATTATCAAACAGTTTTGATTATACATTGTATTTCTGTTTTATCATTTTTATCAACGTAAGGTCATCATAGTAGGATATCTAAAAATAAATATATTTTATCCCAGATATGATATACAACTTTTATATGTATATCAATGTACTTTACAATTGTTGTTGGTGGTAATGAAGGATAGACGAAACCTCAAATGTTTTTAAAAAGTTATTGTTTTAAAACACCAAAATAACTATTATGAGTAAGCATAAAGAAAACACTAGAAAGTGTTGAAAATGTAAAATTTTAACTCAGAGAATAACTTTCTCCAAAATTCATTCAGGAATTGCAACGATAAAATCTGATAGTAGATAAAATGAAATATAACTTTTGACTTTTAACATGCAATAATTTGTGGTGAATAGAGTTTGTTATTACCAAGACAGTTTAAAATATAACAGAAATATTTATGTGATAGAACAGTACACAAGTAATATATTAATAGAGGTGTGGGGTGTGCAGATAGATTATAAATAAAAGGAGATTTGAGTACATATCAATGAAACAGCAACTCTTCAGCACAATAAATCTTAAAGGAGTTAATTTTTATGCTCCTGCCAATGGGGGAAGGGGCATTAAGTGTTACCCTTGTCCGTCCATACATTTGTCCTTACATCCCAAAATAAGTTTCCGTTCTCTAACTTTAGTTTGCTTCAACCAAATGTTATGAAAGTTATACACAATGCTTGTTACCACAAAACACAGATTAAATTCGAATTTGGGTGGTGTCACTTTTACAGTTCTCTAGTTTTGTCCCTTTATAACGTTATATGTAAGCGGGGGCATCATCTGTGTCCCATGGACACATTCTCCATTATTGATCCTGCCTTTGAGTAATGTTGCAGAATACAAGACTGATATTCTAATCATGTGATTGTGTCCTCTAACGTGACTTTGAAGGTCAACTGAATCTTACCAAAGTAGGGATTATATTCCGGTAGGTTTGATATTCCCTACAACCAGTTCAACTTTTAAATTGAAATTGTATGTAAAAAAACTCATAGAAAAAGGTTTAGTATGCTATTTTACAAAGGAGCTCATGAGACAAATCTAAAAAGATTTCTTTTGGTAAAAGTGTTTTGAACAGATATATCATGTTAAGGAGGGGTATTTGCTTGAGAATGAATTTCCCTCGCCTTACCGCTCGCGAAATTGAACATTCTCTCTACTGGTATTTTTCGCAAATACCCCTCAAGAACATGCTATATCTGTTTAATTACACCGAATGTTAACGTACAAAACGCATTGATGATCGTGACATTACAAGCGTCCAGTCGGATAGAGTATTTTTTGGCAAATACCACGGCAGAGAGGGTAAAAAAGGCATATCCTTTTTGCATATACCCCGGCGCTGTTTAAAAATGAACGATATTCATTTGATAAAAGTAAATTGGTGAAAAATACTCTGGCTATCAACCAATCAAAACCCAGGATTCTTACATAAGGTGTAATTAAAACTGCAATTGTCAGGTATGGGATAAGATATGGATATTTGTGTTTGAATAAATGATAAGTAATTAAGCTACACATTTTTGAGATAAACGTGTAATAATGATTTACATTATTTTCAGGAGGGATGTAAAATTTTACACCAATGAGAGACCTCGTACCTTCTCCCTAAGTCAAGAATGTTATAATCCTGAATACTTAGATGCAGAAGAGGAACTTAAACTGAGAGTAGCTGAACTGATGAAAAAGCCACTACAGCCCTGTGCACCAAACAAGTAGTGTAGGACTTTCTAAAGTTCTGTTTTAAATAGAGGGGAAATGAATAAATAAAACTGGGGAAATGAATAAATAAAACTGGGGAAATGGAGAAAAAAACAAGAATTGTTAAAGAAAAGTTGTTAAAGCCTATGATAACATATTTGTTTCTTTCAAAATTTAATATTTTATTTTGTTTCTTAGTTTGCATTCCTTGTATTAAACTAGAATCATTATGAATTGTGTAAATAAAATCAACCATACAAAAACAATATCTTCAAATTGCTTTACTACACTAGTTTAAAAAAAAGGCAACCTTTAGGCCACTCTAAATTTGATTTTGAATTCTTTGGGTTCCTTGGCTCCAAAATTTTGACATCTTAAAATTTGTGTTCATTTCCTAAAAACTTTCTGAATTGTCGCTCCATTTAAATGAAATAAGCAATTTTATTTTTGAAATGTCATGACTTGTCCACAATTTACAGAAAATTACAATTTTTTCTTGTGTAGAAAAATTATATATCCTTAGTTAAAACAGATGTGTTGTAGAAAAAGTTATACATCACCAAATTTCAGATATCGCTTACTGAAATAATTATTTTGGAAAAAATTAAAAATTGAAAATTTCATTTCAATTTTTGTACAATATAGTCTGAAGAACAAGTAATCAATTGGGAGTGGCCTAAATATACAAATTTTGTAGGAATGATAGACAGAGTCATTACTCATTTTAAGTTATTAAAAAAAAAAACTTTTCATAACATGTATAATTAAATGACCGTATTTACATTCAATAAAGTGATCAATTTAGACTAAACTATGTTACTTTTATGATATGTAGTTTATTGTTTACATTTCAGAGTATGCTTAGGATATACAGAACAGTCACTATTACATAGAGATATAAGTAGTGGGTAAGTCTTCCCTGATTTATCAATTTTAATTGTGTTAGTATATTAAGTGTAAGCACAATATCAACAGGAATATCTTTTAAATAGAAATTAAAAAAAAGTACACACATAAAATAAATTAAAAAAATCCAGCAGTAAAGTTTCAACACAAAATTATTTTTAGGCATTTTCTATAAAACCAAATAGAGTTACATGTGAACAGCAGCTCAACAAGAAATCCCTTCTTAAAATCTTAAAAAGTTTATCTTCAGTACATTATAATAAGCTCTTACTAAAACATAATTGTTTCAAAATTGTAAAAGACTGGGCTGTTTCAGAATCTAATGATCCTAGGTAATATTTTTTAGGTTAAATGTTGTGATTGGTTGAAAACGTCATAAACAATTGAAATTCATCCAATGATATGTTATTTTTATTTTGGGGTACTACAAATGAAATTAGCCATAGTCCTTTAGATTTGGAAACTGCAATAATACTGAGATGTCCAAAGATCTGAAATTTATATTGCATTCAATTGGAATTTTCATAAAGCTTTATAGACAGATCAACTCGAATAGCATGGCTGTAACATTGATTTAAAACTTGGTTTTTTTTCAGAGGCTTTGAAGAATGTCCAGAAAGATTACAACACCTCTGTAAAACATTGAAGAACAAAGGATTATGGGATAGATGTCTAATAACACAGGTATTGTTATTATTATTTCTGCAATGGTGATGTCCATTATGTGGTATGAATGTTTGAGTAGATGAACATTTTTTTAATAGTTCTATTTTAATTAACTGCCTTGTTGGTTTTATGATAGGATTTCTTACCTCCAGTACAGGAGATCATCAGTTTGTTCCACATCAAGGTCACTTCAAATTTTGAAATTGACATTTGCTGTTTCTCTGTCTTACTAACCTCATGAACTCTTTATCTACCACTGACGGATATATACACAGTTTTTATCATCGTTCTGTCCGCAGTGTCTGATAAATCTGCTTGCATAATCAAGTGTTTATTCGCAATGACTGATAGATCTGCTGTAAACATACACTTGCACAATCCCGGTGACGGATATTTCTGTAAAGTATACCACTGTTAAAACCCTTTAGATTTGACAAAACTGTTGGGGAATCCCGAAATGAACCAATGAAATTTGGTTTTACAAATTAATAATCTTTCAACTCGTACATTCCTTTTCTTTAAAAGGTGTGTGTTTACATTTGATTACGATGAATTTTACATGTGTTCGGAATGCGATTAAAACAATGGTGGATGAATGGGCTCCTTGTTCAAATCGGATAGCGTAAGTGAAGAATTTGAAGGATTTATGCAATTAGCAAGCAAAATTTAGAAGTATAGGAAGGGATAGTTTAGTTTGTAGAAACCGGATTGCGAGTCTTCCGATGATGAAGAAGCCAATAGAAATAATGTGGTATGAGTGCCAATGAGACAACTCTCCATCCAAGTCACAATTTGTAAAAAGTAAACAATTATAGGTCAAAGTACGGCCTTCAAAATGGAGCCTTGGCTCACACCGAACAGCAAGCTATAAAACATGGACAAATAATTTGAAAACTTTTTATGTCTGTTTACGGCAGCTTTCAAGCTTGATAAGGAAAAGAAAGAAATTGATTTTGTATTTGTTTTACTTTTCAATTAACACACAATAAATACTGATTAATTAAACATTTACTTAGAGTACTCATAACACAGCCTTAACAATTTGTGAAAAATTCTCTCACTGATAGTTAACCTACAATTCAGCAGCAGTAGCTAAATAATCAGCAGTGTGAATTAGTTGAAGACTTTTGTCATTTAAGCTAGCACATTTGAATATTACTCAATATCTTTCAGGGAAGAAAAGCTACAGATGATGAATTAACGCTTGCTCACAGGTAATACGTACATGTTAAAATTGTTGTTTACAATTCGAATCCTACTGTGGGAAGAACAAAAATTTGTATTGGGGGGGTCTTGGTGGCTGAGTGGTATAAGTAGTTCATGAACAATGATCACTGACCTGTTAACTCTGAGGTTTGTGAGTTAGAACCTGGCTTGATGCAAGGTATGCTCAATTTTAATCTTTATTGACCAGGATAATTAGTTTTACTGCAAAAAAATCAATGATTTTCTTCATGAACATCTGCTACTCTACCATTAAAAACTGGTCGCAAGGATTTATCCAAAGTCGCTGAAAGTTGCCACAACCACCAACAAACAAAGTTGTGTTCCCTGTTCCCATTTTCTATTCTATTTTATAACATAGATATTAGTAAATGATATGTCCTGATCTTTTTATGAAAAATGATACAGTACACAGATAGAAAATAAAGTATGTCATTTAAAATTTATATAATACATGTATATAAAAGTTACCATAGAGTCTGATTGAGCGTAAAACAAAATATGTTTTCACCCCTTATTGATTATTATGAAGACTGCTAAAACTTTAAAATAATAATGTTAAAGTATTTAATGTGAATGAATTGTGTATTTCAGTCCAGACTTCATCAGACAGCTGAAGAAAATAGAGAAGATGGATGAAGATGCTTTAATCAAATACCAATCTTCTTTTAAATCTGTCTACTTTTGTCAGGTATATTGTGATGCTTTCTGTTTGTATGCTGACATTATTCTTTCATTAAGGTAATATAAGGTACAGTTTCTGAATGTTGTCAAATAAAACTCTTTCGGCAAACTAGCCTTTTTCATGCTAATGCATTGCTAATCAATCAAATAAAACTCAAGTTATGACATTATATTTTAATATTTTAACAAATTGTCTTTTTAAGAAATACAATGTTTTAACAGTATGGATGCCTGACATACATATGATGTAGTTCTACATTGGCTAGAGGTATAGGGGGAGATCTCACAAAACATGTTTAACCCCGCCAGATTTTTGCGCCTGCCCAAGTCAGGAACCTCTGGCCATTGTTAGTCTTGTATGTTTTTTTTAATTTCGGTTCATTTATATGTTTTGGAGTTTTCTATGAACTAGTACACATTTTTTGTTTAGGGGCCAGCTGAAGCCCGCCTCCAGCTGCGGGATTTTCTCGCTGTATTTAAGACCCATTGGTGGCTATCGGCTGTTTTCTGCTCTTTGGTCGGGTTGTTGTCTCTGACACATTCCCCGTTGCCATTCTCAATTTTATAAGATATTCATCACATTAAAATTAGAAATGGACATTATGACAAATTGTGTTTTAAGAAAAAAGTTGTTTAGAGTAAATGAATTTTCAACAAAAATGAAACTTTTCTTGAAAATATAAAAAGTTAAATATGACAGAAGTAGTATACAATATATCAACAATAACATGAGGTCAGACATTTATGCGTTCAGAAACAGAAAGAATACTTAAAGGATTAAAATGAAGTTAAGCAACAAAAACCCTTGTTACAAACAAATTCATATGTACTGCACAGGTATTTCGTACATTTAAGGTTTTAAATGTTTAAATATTTACCCCTGCAGTTATCTTTTACTGATTTTTTCATGGTATTATATTGAGAAAGTGAAGTAAAGTTTGTCTGTTTCTGTTACAGGACAGTTTCACAGCAGCTAGTTGGTCTGTTGGTACTCTGCTGTCAGTTGTGGATGATGTTTTAACTGGACAGGTAGGTGTTACAGGACAGTTTTGAACCATTGAATTTGTTGGTACTGGTTTCAGTTGTACATTATTATAAAAGGTTTTACAGGCCATGTAAGTTGTCATCGACCAGTTTTACATCACTGAGTATAACTGTTGGTAAACTACTTTTAGTTTTGGATAGTAGTATATTCACACATTCCATTAGTGACAAAATGGTATATTCATGCTTGTTTAAATATTTATTTTCAGTCACAGAGTGGTGTTGCCCTAACAAGGTAAGCATACAAATTATTTCTGTAAAACAAAACAATAACTATGTTTATCAAAGTGCATCATAAAGATGTAAGCTTTTCAGATTCAATTATGTTGGGCCATCTAGACTCAATAATGTTTGGCTTACACTGTAACATGTCAGGATATTCAGATTCAAACATGTTAGGTTTGATTTAGGCAAAGAAATTCTCACATTCAAATTTGAAAATATAATTGATTTTTTTACCACAATACATGTTTATAGTAATTGTCAACCAGAAGAGTTGCAGTTTGACATATTTATTCCCAATATTTCTCATATTTATCTGTGCTATATTGTAATAAATGATCTATTAATCATAATTATACCTAATTGCAGACCTCCAGGACATCACGCAGAGGCCAATACTATAATGGGATTTTGTATGTTTAATAATGTCGGCATTGCTGCCAAATATGCTCAACAAAAATATAATGTTAACAGGTAAGTTTTCTCACAGTAAGAAAAAAAAAACCCAGAAATACTAGATCAATTAGTACAGCACAGTACATATATTCATTGATGATTTAATAAAAAAAAAATTGGAAAAATAAAAAAAAAGTAAAGGTCTTTTCTAAGACATAATGTATCATGCACCCCCAATGCCACCTTCAAATCAAAGTTATACACTTAGCCCTTTTGAAAAGCTTAGAAGCTTTTAATATGCCTAACTACCCATGAGGTATTTAAAATTTCTGACCTCCTTTAAATGCTTCAAAAATATATTAGATGTGAAACCTAGCATAATTTTTTTGTTTCATTATTAAAGGGTTGTGATTATTTGTATTTCAGAATTGTGATTGTAGACTGGGATATACACCATGGTAATGCATTACAGACTTTATTTTATGATGACACGAGGTAATAGTGGTTTGAAATTATAAAGTTAATTTTTCCAGACATCATCATGGACCATACATATGAATATATCTATTGAATTTGTTCAAGACGAGATCCAACTAAGTCTCAAAAGCTTAAGGTATTAATATGCTTTTGGCAAGATCAAACAGCTAAACTTTAAGCATATTTCAACCGTGTCAGGATTTCTTTGTCAATATTGAGTTTCTACAACTTTGTGTTAAAATTTAGGGGAAAAGCTCATGTACAAAAAACCATTTACTGAAAGAAAACATCATTTACAGAACATTCTTATATAGCTCTGCATTCAATTTCCTTTTTTATACGACTGCAAAAAAAATTTTGCGTCGTATAATGCTATGGTGTCGTCTGTGTCAGCGTCGTCCAAAGACACATTTGGTTTCCGGACAATAACTTTAGTTTAAGTGAATGGATCTCTAAGAAATTTTACCAGAAGGTTCAATATTAAAAGGAAGGTTGGGATTGATTTTGGGTGTTATGGTACTAACAGTTTAGGAATTAGGGGCCAAAAAGGGGCCAAAACAAGCATTTTTGTAGTTTCCGGACAATAACTTGTGTGTTAGTGTATAGTTCTCTCAGAAATTGTACCACAAGGTTCCATATCACAAAGGGAAGGCTGGGATTGAGTTTGGGGGTAATGCCCCAAGGGTTCAGGAATAAGGGGCAAAAAAGGGACCAAAAACAAGCATTTTTCTAGTTTCCAGACAGTAATTTGTGTTGAAGTGTATGGATCTCTCTAAAATTGTACTACAAGGTTCCATACCACAAAGGGAAGGCCGGGATTAATTTGGGGGTAATTACCCCAAGGGGGAGGGGGTTCAAAAAGTTTGGGGGCATTTTTTTTCCAACATTTTTGGGGGGTTCATATTTTTTTACTTCAAAACTTTTGAAATTTCAAATGATTGCACAGTATTGCGCAATAGCAAGAATTCTTCAATTGCACAGTATTGCGCAATAGCACAGTATTAGGCAAACGCAAGAATTCTTCAATTGCACGGTATTGCGCAATAGCACAGTATTAGGCAATAGCAAGAAATCTTCAATTGCACAGTATTGCACAAAAGCAAGAAATCTTCAATTATACAGTATTGTGCAAAAGCATACATAGTATTGCCCAACAACAAAGTATTGCGCAATAGCACAGTATTGCACAGTAGCACAGTATTGCGCAATAGCAAGAAATCTTCAATTGCACAGTATTGCGCAAGAGCAAGAAATCTCAATTATATAGTATTGCGCAATAGCAAGAAATCTTCAATTGGCCAGTATTGCGCAACAACACAGTATTGCGCAGTAGCAAGAAATCTTCAATTGCACAGTATTGCGCAATAGCATAGTATTGCACAATAGCAAGAAATCTTAAATTGCACAGTATTGCGCAATAGCAAGAAATCTTCAATTGAAAATAAATACAAATCTTTTAACCAATTTCAATGGGATTTATTTAAAGTCTTTAATTTTTGGGGGTTCTAACCTTGTATTACTTTTTTGGATATTGGGCCCCATTTTTAAATTGGTCTACATTGAGGTCAAAAGGGTCCAAAATTAAACTTGATCAAAAACTGAATTATTGAGGCTGTATGATATGCTGAATCTTATTGTGCATTTAGATTTTTTATTTTGGGCCCTGTTTTCAAATGAGTTCATATTAAGGTTTGAAGGGTCTAAAATTAAACTTTGTTTGATTTCAACTAAAATTAAATTTTTGGTGTTTTTTTATATGCTGAATCTAACCATGTTGTTAGATTTTGGATATCAGACCATTTTAGGTAAATTAAGTGTCCCATTTCAAATTTTTAAGATCTTTGACCACATTTATTTTGTTTCAGAAATCTATATTATGTCAAAATTTGATCACAATCCAAATTCAGACAGCATCAAGCTTGAATATTGTGTCCAAAATTGCCCCAACTGTTCAGGGTTTGACATCAGCGGTCGTATCTGGCTGCGCTCAGCGAAGCATTTTATCTATATATATGTTTTAATAATCAAAAACCCCTTCAGTTATTAACTCTTTACCTATGACACAAAATAGATAAAGGAAATGATGACATTGATGGTGTAATACAAAAAATAGGACTGACAAATATTTAGGGGTTGAAATTATCAAAAAGCAGAAGATTTAAATTTCTAACAGGAGGGAAGGAGGGAGGCCTAAAAAATGGGGAGATTTTGACTCCTGCCCAAAGAATCAGAAGTATGGAGATGGTTTTCTCCTAGATATCAAGTATACACACTGCTATGAAATTGTAAGAAAGCATTTGAGTTGGCATCACCACTTTCATTGGATGCAATGTTTCCAAAAGATGTTATCTGCATTGATAATGAAATTTTGTAGACTTGAGTGTGTAAATGCATTTTCAGTGTTTGAAAAATTACAAAATTACAATGCACTTTCATTGTAAAGTAGCTATTAACTTTTTTTGTGTTTTTCATATGTTGCTCTCAGTGAATGATCTTGTGTACTTTCAATGTTTAAAAAATTACAATGTACTGTAATTGATTGAATATATGTACATTTAAATTTTTAATTATTACAAAATACATTATATTTTAAGCATTTAGAAAATTCCAAAATATTGCATTGTTTAAGTAATTACAATATACCTTAACTGTAACAATAAAAAAACCAATGTAATTTCAGTGTTTTATACATATCACTTCACCGATTCGATAAAGGATCATTTTATCCATATGGAGGAGAAGGATACCACAAGTGTGTGGGTGGAAAATCTGCTCAGGGATACAATGTCAATATTGCTTGGAACCATGTAAGTCATCTTTTTATATACCTCTCTTAGATCAGAGAATCATAGTATACTCTAGTCCATCTATTTATCTGTTTCTCCATCCACACGTCATAGAAAAGCTAGAGAATGCTTTGATAAAATTTCAGTGTTTGATTAATTGGAAAAGGTAAAAGAAAGCTTCCTTTGGATTTAAATTTTTTCTAGAATCTTGTGACTTAAATCTTCAGAATAAAGCCACTTTTTTGACTCGCATATATATAAATCAATTTTTTCACAAATTACAAATTTTAAGAAGTGTTCTAAATAAGATTCTATATATGAGAGTTAATAAAACAGGAACTTCTCAAAATGTCATAGTATTCTTCTACTTTAAAGGCATCATAGAGTATAAAATCTCAGTTTTTTTTTGTCACCTATGTTTCCATCACACAAGTTTTATTAAGAAAATTGATTTAGTAATACATAGTACATAATGACAGAATGTTTTTCGTTATGATTTTTTGGACAGTTTGAAATGAATATGTACATCTAACCCTAGACTTGATTCTTAACATAAGTACGATAAATTATTACCTATACAATAATTGTGCTCACAAGTCATATCCATCAGACAGCTTGTTATTTATTGTAGGAATCCAAGGGAGATTCAGATTATGTAGCAGCATTTCAACAAGTAATCTTACCTTTATGTTATGAGGTATTTATATATTGTATATCTCACATAACCTCTAATAATTTCAGTTTATTTTTTGTTTTTCTTTTCTCTTTATTTTTTTTTTTTTATAAAATAGTAAAAAATTTAGAGTCTTGTTTTATGACCTGAGATTACTGTTACCTTAAAAAGTGACACCTTTGCTTCAGAATTGAAACTCCATTCAATGAAAATCCTATGAAAGGTGGTTATTGAAGTTTAGCAGAATGTCTGAATAAAAATAGTTTCATATCATCAAATTATCATTTAAAAGGAGAAGAATGTAATGAAAATCAATATCATGTAGATATTTTGTATGTCAAGTGTGTTTTTACACAAGTTAAAAAAGATGAAGATGAAATAAACCAAGGATTTTCATAGTAATAAAAGTTACGTTCAATCATAATTCATAACATTTCTTTATTGATTATCATTATGTCTTTTCAGTTTTCTCCAGATTTGGTGTTGGTGGCTGCAGGCTTTGATGGTGCTAAAGGAGACAATTTAGTAAGTGAATTTTAAACATAATTTGAATTCATTTTGTTTGGATCAATTCTCGAGGTTGGAGTAAAAAAAAATCAATTGTAAGGAATTTATTTGATTGCTCCTATCAAAGTACCTAGCAATTTGTGATACATCAAGTATCTAAATTCTTGGTTCCTTTCTACCAAAGAAATTAATGAAAAATTAGTATCACAGAAATGAATCCACCATGGTTTGAAAGAACCAATTTCGAATTTGTCAGCCATTGAAGAAGACGGAGAATTTTTAAGGTAACTCTTTGGTTACAGGACCATTCTCACTTAAAATGAATTCATAGTCATGCAGATTTCCTAAAATTATCGAATTACCCACTATTTTTATTACACAAATGACCTGATTTTGGTGTGGAAACTTCTCAAAATGGCACAAAAGGACCCATCTGAAAACATCATGATAAACTCTTGGCTTCTATGTTAAATTATTCATTTTTATACGACCGCAAAAAATTTTTGTGGTCGTATATTGGTATGACGTTGTCGTCTCGTCAGTTGTCGTCGTCGTCGTCCGAAGACGCATTAGTTTTCGCACTCTAACTTTAGTTTAATTGAATGGATCTCTGTGAAATTTTACCATAAGGTTCAATACCACAAAAGAAAAGTGGGGATTGATTTTGGGAGTTATGGTACCAACAGTTAAGGAATTAGGGGCCAAAAATAAGCATTTTCTAGTTTCCAGACAATAACTGTGGAACGGTGTATGGATCTCTCTGAAATTATACTACAAGTTTCCATACCACAAAGGGATGGTTAGGATTTGCTTTGGGGGGTTATGGCTCAAACCGTTTAAGAATTAGGGGCAAATAAGGGGGAAAAACAAGGTTGTCCTGGTTAATGGACAAATACTTTAGTACAAAACATAATTTAAAGCAGTGTAAGGGAGATAAATCAAATACATCATTGAAATTATCTCCCTTACAATGCTTTTAAATTATGTATAAAGTAATGGTTAATGAACAATTAAGATAATTTAAAACAGTGTAAGGGAGGTAATCAAAATACAACGTTTTGGTTACTTCCCTTACACTGCTTTTAAATTATGTTTAAAGAAATAAATATTTATAAAGGAAGACCAGTAAAAATATCTGCAAATGTTGCATCTTTTTTTTTTACAAAAAAATCCATATGAAAGATTTGACACTATATTTTAAATTCTATTATAAAATAGATTAAGTTAGCACTATGGTAAATTTAAATCCAAAATTAAACTTTGTTTGATTTTAACAAAAATTGAATATATGGGGTTCTTTGATATGCTGAATCTAAACATGTATTTAGATTTTAGATTTTTGGCCCAGTTTTCAAGTTGGTCCAAATTGGGGTCGAAAATTAAACTTTGTTTGATTTCAACAAAAATTGAATATATGGGGTTCTTTGATATGCTGAATCTTACCATGTATTTAGATTTTTTATTTGTGGGCCCGCTATCAAATTGGTTCATATTGAGGTCAAAAGGGTCCAAAATTAAACTTTGTTTGATTTCATCAAAAATTGAATTATTGGGGTTCTTTGATATGCCAAATCTAACCGTGTATTTAGATTTTTAATTTTGGTTCCCGTTTTTTAAATTGGTCTACATTAAGGTCCAAAGGGTCCAAAATTAAACTTAGTTTGATTTTAACAAAAATTGAATTATTGGGGTACTTTGATATTCTGAATCTAAACATGTGTTTATATTTTTGATTATGGGCCCAGTTTTCAAGTTGGTCCAAGTTGGGGTCCAAAATTAAACTTTGTTTGATTTCAACAAAAATTGAATATATGGGGTTCTTTGATATGCTGAATCTAAACATGTATTTAGATTTTTGATTTTTGGCCCAGTTTTCAAGTTGGTCCAAAATTAAACTTTGTTTGATTTCAACAAAAATTGAATATATGGGGTTCTTTGATATGCTGAATCTAACCATGTATTTAGATTTTTTTTTTTGTGGACCCCGCTATCAAATTGGTTCATATTGAGGTCAGAAGGGTCCAAAATTAAACTTTGTTTGATTTCATCAAAAATTGAATTATTGGGGTTCTTTGATATGCCAAATCTAACCGTGTATTTAGATTTTTAATTTTGGGTCCCGTTTTTTAAATTGGTCTAAATTAAGGTCCAAAGGGTCCAAAATTAAACTTAGTTTGATTTTAACAAAAATTGAATTTTTGGGGTTCTTTGATATGCTGAATCTAAACATGTGTTTATATTTTTGATTATGGGCCCAGTTTTCAAGTTGGTCCAAGTTGGGGTCCAAAATTAAACTTTGTTTGATTTCAACAAAAATTGAATATATGGGGTTCTTTGATATGCTGAATCTTACCATGTATTTAGATTTTTTATTTGTGGGCCCGCTATCAAATTGGTTCATATTGAGGTCAAAAGGGTCCAAAATTGAACTTTGTTTGATTTCATCAAAAATTGAATTATTGGGGTTCTTTGATATGCCAAATCTAACCATGGTTTTAGATTTTTAATTTTGGGTCTCGTTTTTTAAATTGGTCTACATTAAGGTCCAAAGGGTCCAAAATTAAACTTAGTTTGATTTTAACAAAAAATGAATTCTTGTGGTACTTTGATATGCTGAATCTAAACATGTGTTTAGATTTTTGATTATGGGACCAGTTTTCAAGTTGTCCAAGTTGGGGTCCAAAATTAAACTTTGTTTGATTTCAACAAAAATTGAATATATGGGGTTCTTTGATATGCTGAATCTAACCATGTATTTTGATTTTGGTCATTGGACCATAATAGGTAAATTAAAAAAATTGAAGTTCTTAGTTCACATTCTTTCTGTGTCAGAAACCTATGCTGTGTCAAATATTTAATCACAATCCAAATTCAGAGCTGTATCAAGCTTGAATGTTGTGTCCATACTTGCCCCAACTGTTCAGGGTTCGACCTCTGTGGTCGTATCAAGCTGCGCCCAGCGAAGCATTTTATTCATGCTATTATGGTCTTTTTACTTGAATTCAACTCAGTAATATTAAAAAAACAGCATCCTTACTGAACTGACTAAAAAAAATCAGCATGCATTAAGTCCCGGTAAAGGGTTGGTTTCCAGCAGCTTCATTTGAGTCTAAGATTGCATCAATATTTCTCTTCATTTAAAAGAACAAACTACTTAAAATGAAAAGGTTCTATTTTATGGTATTTTTTCAAACAGGGTTCTACAACAATAGTAAGAGAATGATATTTATAAAAGCAGGAAAGGTGCATGTTCTTTGATGTATTTTCCTCCTCAAATTGAGCACCATTTATCAGTTACAAGCTTGCAGTAAAGTCTCATTAATAATATCCTCTTCTAAAAAAGCATGTTTTAAACAAATTAGCCCAAACATTGCTTGGTTACATGTCTGATTGGATTTATTTTAGGGAAATTACAGATTATCTCCAGAATTGTTTGGTTACATGTCTGATTGGATTTATTTCAGGGAAATTACAGATTATCTCCAGAATTGTTTGGTCACATGGCCAGTATGTTAAAAGGGCTTGCTCATGGTAGAATTATTCTTGCACTGGAGGTAAGTTTGGATAGAAGGAAAGTCAACAGATACAATGAATGAAATAAGCACTTGATAACTTTGTGTGTCTGAAGCGCTTTTCTGGATTTACCTTCATCAGGAACCCTCAAACCTTAACATTTGAATGCTGGGGATGAGTAAATATACTGAAATGTTCAGAGCAATATGACCAAAAAAGACCTCAATAGAATAGCCAAATTCATTTAAGGTCAACTTTTCCTGCTGGAGATGGAACCTTAGTTTCTTAATAATTTCTTATATTTGAAAAGGGAATTTCAAATAAGTATATGTTACAAATTACGTTAGTACCCAAGCACTGATTGCTGAGCTGATGATACCCTTTATGACTAACAGTCCACCAGCAGCGGTATTGAACCAGTGCAAATGAGGCTTTTCTTCAGTTCAAAAAGTTCATGGTTCTTGGCTTTATTTGACATAATTATTCATTTATGACAATTGTTATATAGTCATAAAAACAAATGTTGAAGGATATTGTTGGAGATAAATTAGATTTTTTTACAGATTTTAGTTTATATTTCAAGCTTAATAGAATTGACTGAATATTTGATGATTGCTTGATTGTTGTTTACTTATCATCCAGTCGCAAATATTTTTACACGAGGATTGAATATTTGCATTGTTGTGACCATTAAAACAAATTGTAACAGATCTAGAGTCTACCATATCAGTAAATAATAGATTGAAGCTATTCTTGATTCAAATGAAAAACTAAAGTAAACCTATTTAGTTCTATCACCTACTCAAAGTATTGAATGAAACAGTATGTACAGGGCCTAATCTAGGATTTTGGAGAGGGAGAAGTGACTTCTCCTTCCATGAGAGAGAAGGGAGAAGTGGTTAATTTCTTAGAGAAGTGAGATTCCATTACCGTTTCGGTTGCGTAGTGTTCTTGTGCTTATCACTAAGGAAATTTTTTTATATGCAATAAAAAATATACAGTTTTTTCATGTTATTGTACAAAATGTATATATGGAAAGTTCTTAATAAAAAGGTTTAGACAATATAGTTGTTATTTATTCATTGATACCATTTGTACTGTCAACTTGAATTTAAGTTTAAATAAAATTTGTTACTTGGGAGACGAGGGAATAGCCTAGTAATATTATGATGCATTAAATTCATGTGCATCTGCCTCAATTTATTTTTAAATGTCCAGAAAAATATGACTCCCAGTTTACCTGATGAATTTCACATGACTGGGAATTTAATTTATATCACCACTTGTCATTATTTTGTAAAACATTATTGAATGTCCAGGACATCATGTTACATGTAGTTGTAAATTGAGATTCTCGTTAAAGATTGTAAGCCTATAAATGAAAATATCTGTCAAACACATATTAATTAACCGATGCAGAGCTAATTTCTATCATTTTTTAAAGATATCTTCCCTATCAACGAAATTGTCGTGAAAAAAAATCCACTGCTGATCACAGCTGGTCGAGTGTCATACATTTGCAATCGCATTATCCATCAGCTGTCTTTCTACCTTTTATATTTCAATTTTTATGCAATGAATATAATAAATCTACCATTAATTCCCACCCTTAACCCACCGAATAGTACAAATTGATCGACTCGTTATAAATAAAAATAAAACAAATCAGCTGAGTGATTACGCAACATCCTCAGATAAAAATCATCATAAAATGATAACTTTAACAGACGGTCAGTTTTCCGATTGAATAGTTTTAAATGTTATATCCAAGGATGTTCAAAGTCGCTGTTGTATTTATTTAATTTGATCGTCGACAGTATTAGTCCTGGGTCGTTTCGAAAATCTCGATTTTCCTTGTCAGTCGCCATTTTTTTTTAACTGAGAGACTTGTAATTCACAAGTTGTCTCCCTTTTACCGATTTTCATAGCGATTTGACTTCGCCATGAAGTCAGTGGACTGGCGAGATTTAGCGATTTTCAAAATTCTTTGGCGACTTAAATCGTCATTTCGCGGCAAGATTATGGCCTGATGTATATATATTTAAATCCTTATTTTTTAAGGGACTTGGAAATATAACTTAGATATGACATTTATACACATGTTAATTGCAGGGAGGATATAACATAGACATGACATCAGATTCGATGGCCTGTTGTATTTCTACACTGTTAGGTGACCCTCTGCCTTCTTTAACTTCCATGATACCGAGTCAAAGGTAAGAATTTCAAAATTTTGCTATGCCTGTAATTAATGTCATAGAATGTCAGACATAGATGCTAATCTGATGGCAGCCGAAGCCTAATTTTTTTGAATAAATTTTTATAAATGTAAAAAAGAAGCAGAGCTTGATAGTCCTTATCTTGTATTCAGATGCCTCATGCTCTAAATTTTCTGTGGCCTTTTGTCAGTTGTCTATGATTGATTTATTGATTGTTGTTTGCTTTACTTCCAGTGAAAAATATTTCATGTGTGATCAGGACGAGAACAAATAAACAAAACATGAAATAGGTAGGTCCTGTACTAGGGGCCGCTCAGAATCATGGTCTGGAAAATGAAGGTGTATATAAGGAAATACCTGTACCAAGTCAGGAATATGGCAGTTGTTTTCCATTCGTTTGATATGTTTGAGTTTTTGATTTTGCCTTTTGTTAAGGGACTTTCTATTTTGAATTGTCCATGGAGTTCGTTTTTTTGTTGTTGTTATTTTACTTTTTTTGTGACATTTATGGTTATAGTGAACCAACACCCTGAAGAAGTGGATGTGTGGTATCGGTAAAGTTAGGATGGATACTTACTTTTGTTTAATGACATAAATTCAGCCCTGCAACTGGCCGCCTATGAACCCCTAAAAGAGTTGTTGCACAGTTGTCTTTGCAGTCATTTTCATGGTTCAATGACTATATTAAAACTCTCTATTTTTGTTGTCATATTTCAGTTGACATGCATCCTATTACTGGTAGTTTATCAAAACAACTCAAAGACAATCTTTAGTGATAACATAGCAAATAGGAGATCATTTCTGAATACCAGAGAAAGGCTATAATTCATTCATATTTGAATCAGGTCAACACCTTGGTGTAAAAAAATTCTCTTTTTATTCTTAATATTCCAAATTACAAAATTTCAGAACATTTTCTATGAATTGCATGGTAAGGCCTTTTTCCTTTAAAATCAGGTAAATGCCGAAACTATGCACATCAGGATGAACAAGGTTACCTAAGCCTGATGTAGATCAAGGGTAAAGCCTTTATCAATACTTGTCTATGTCAGGTTAAAGGTAGGATTAGAAGTTATTTCTTTTCATGTTTGCTGATACATACATGTACTATGGATCTTTCTTGAAAACAGAAAGAGACTTTTTTTAAGCTTTTGTTTTCTTTCCAGTGCTGTGAAGAGCATTTGTGACACAATAGATACACAATCAGAATTTTGGAAATCCTTACAATATAGAGGTAGGTACTAGTCAGGCTTTTGAAAGTTGTAATTGAGGAACAAATGTTAAGCATTAATTCTTGGGAATTGTAATAGAGGGGTGATGATGAGATTGCTTACACTGTTACAATTTTTGGGTAAAGATTGCATAAAATGCAATCAACTTTATGGTACTGACTTGATATTCATATCTTCAAAGATTCATACCTGCCAACCTCTGAAACCTTCAAAGAGGGAGATCTCCCTCTCAGCTTTGACAGCTGAGGGGGAGATTTTGTGCGAACGACATTTTCAAGTGAAATATATGACGTGTTTATTTATTCATCTACGAAACACATATAAGAGTTAGTAAATATACTTTGTTTCTTTAACTACAGAAGGTGTGTTTTTTTTTCCTATTTCATCATCTTTGACATTTGAATCCCTCCCGGACAATTTTCACCCTAGATACCTCTGTTATAAGAGAACAATCATGTTGTTACTGATGCATTTTGTGTGTGCACATATTTATTTCACTAAATTTGGTTCAATACGTATCTTATAAATTTAAATATAAACATTGAATAGAAGTATAGATCTTTTAAGTGATTTTTAAAATATAATTATTTTTTTTGTCTTAAGTCATACAAAATCTTTTAATTGCCATCCTTTTATGATTCTTCGTTTAATTTGTATTTAGTTTATATTGTTTTATCAATTCACATTATTTTAAGAAGGGTTACTTAAAACAGGATTAAACAGGGGAAGTAACCCGAAATTTCTATGAAGTGTTTTGCTCGAAGCAAAAGTGGTTAATGATTGTTAATTAGAACTATGTTTGACACCCAAGCTGTGAAGTGAAGCCATTTAATTTCACATGGTCTGTGATTAACAGGTAAAAACAACCCTCATCAGTGAGACAAAAACGTAATTAATGTTGACTTGTCATTCAAGGTTAAAATATCCCAAAGCAGGAGATTCTATACTCCCGCACGGGTAGGATACTGGCAAGCGGGAGATTTCCCAAATTTCGCCATTTGAGCGGGAGTCTCCCGCTCAAAACGGGAGGGTTGGCAGGTATGAAAGATTTATCACTACCTTTGATAGTTCAAACAAAATAGTGCAGTGAAGTGATCACTATTTAGATCCTATCCAGTCAATGTCATGTAATTTATTGATGATGTGTCATACTTTGATATCTAAGTTACAATATGATGTGTATTTGAGTAACCATACTTGTCAAGAAAATATGTTTTTATTAAAAATTACATAAGTAATGCAAGGTGTATGAATCTGTTATACATGTACAAAGGAAGATAACTCCAACTCAAATTTTTAAGTTTTTTAGCCAAATACAATTTAATGTTCTATTTTAAAATTCACAAAATTGCAAAATGAAAGCAATCTTTACTCTTCCGTGCTCACAAAACCTTTCATTACTGTTTAAGGTTTCATAAAAAAATGTTTGAAAACCAATGACATTTGTTGATTAACTCTTTATCTACCACTGACGGATATATACACGGTTTTTATCATCGTTCTGTCCGCAGTGACTGATAAATCCGCTGTAAACATACACTTGCACAGTCCCGGTAACGGATATTCGGTAAAATATACCACTGTTAAAACCCTTTAGATTGGACAAAACTGTTGGGGAATCCCAAAATGAACCAATGAAATTCGGTTTTACAAATGAATAATCTTTCAACTCGTACATTCCTTTTCTGTAAAAAGTGTTTGTTTACATTTAATTATGATGAATTTTACACGTGTTTGGAAGCGATTAAAACAATGGCGGATGAATGGGCTTCTTTGTTCAAATCGTATAGCGAAAGTGAAGAATTTGAAGGATTTATGCAATTAGAAAGCAAAATTGGAAGTATAGGAAGGGATTAATTATCTCTGGTAGTTAACCTACAATTCAGCTGCAGTAGCTAACTAATCAGCAGTGTGTAGTAGTGAACTGTAAAGGTACCTGTGGTAGATAAGAAGTTAACGATAGCTTCAAAAATGTGCATAACTGAAAGCAATATATTCTAACATGATATATTCAGTTTGCAAACGGATATATTTAGTATTTTGTTCTTTCCCACCATTCAAATGTTTTGTGGCCTTCAGATTTTAAAGGATAAAAAGATTTTAAGGATTTCTATGAGTTGATAGCATGTCCAAAGTTCACACCTCAACATAAGTTGAAATCCTGCGTAGTTACATCATAAAATGTTTTGAAGATCTGTTTAAATGTATAATTCTTGAGACACGAGTTTTTGAGATCTTTGAAATATTCAGACATGATATTCACAGTTAATTTTGTCAAATGGGAAAGAGACTGATGATAACTGAATTAACTTTCCCTAATTTCATCATTCAGCATACTAGTAAATGAGTCCTGCTTTAAGATTTGGAGGAGGAATGAAGGATTTTTTGGTAGAAAAATGAATTAAAAGATATATTTTCATTATAGAATATTACTTTTGTTAGAGGAATTTTAATTCACCACTTGAAAAAATATGTTATAATTCCAGGTTTCAAAATATGATCTTCATTCATTATAGGGAGTTCAGAACAGCCATGTTCTTAAGTAATTAAAATATGCAATGGATTAGATATATAGTTCACAACAGACTTTATTTTATATGATTATATGAATATTTTCAGTTGATCTGCCAACAGAAAAACAACTTGAAATCATAAAAGAGCAGAAAGAAAATTCAATGAGAGAATTTGAAGAACAGGAAAATGAAGAGAAAGACGAGAAAGTGTGAAATTCCCATGCTGTCAACACAAGATCTTAGCCAAAGATTGTTACACATACCTCAATTCATTTAATCATTATTTATATTTCTCTTGTTGTTAGTTATTTATATTTATCTTATATACATTTTAGGTAGATCATGGCTAAGACCATAGATAGTATTTTTCATACTCTTCCAAACTTTATTTTTATCTTGTTTTTCCAAAATATACTATATAAAGTATGTGTTTCATGTTTCTGTCCCTGTGTTTAAGCTTTAGTTTTTGTTATGGTAAAATTGTCTTATTTTATGTAAAAGAATTGAGGGAAAATGTACAATAATATGAACAGAAAGAATACTAGCAGAGAGGTCATTGATAAATATGTTTTTTTTTTATTTTCAAATATTCAGTACATGCATTACCAAATTATCAGGAGTCTAAATTTATACTGTACCTTACCTTAACTATTGATTAAGTCTTAAAAACTACATGTATCTAAATAATCTCCAGTAAATATCTTCTTTCTTTTTCGGTATGTAAAGTTTGATATTTTCATGGAAACATTTTGAAAGTCATAACTAATGTAGATAATGTCACCAAACAAGTTTAAAATGTAAAATATCTTTTTTTTATTCCCCACCTACGATAGTAGAGGGGCATTATGTTTTTCGGTCTGTGTGTCTGTTCGTTTGTTCGTTCGTCCGTCCATCTGTCCAGCTTCAGGTTAAAGTTTTTGGTCAAGGTAGTTTTTGATGAAGTTGAAGTCCAATCAATTTGAAACTTAGTACACATGTTCCCTATGATATGATCCTCTAATTTTAATGCCAAATTAGAGTTTTAACCCCAATTTAATGGTCCACTGCACATAGAAAATGATATTGCGAGTGGGGCATCCGTGTACTATGGACACATTCTTGTTTTTTCTTCTTTTCAGTTATATATAAACAATTTCTAAAATTAGATTTAGTTTTATACTTCATGTCCTTTAAAGTTAATAAGTAGATTCTCGTTCCCAACCTCTTCATGTGTTAAGGGCCTGTCCATGATTTTATATCCCTGATGCTGTTTTGTCGGGGGCACATAGGGTTACCCATATTCCTCCTGTCATTTTAAAACCAATTTGCTTAGACTTTTTTATGACAATGTATTGATTAGATTTCTATTACATTTATAGTATATAGTAGTGTCATACAGATTGACCTTGTGTTACGCTCCAGATGACCATTTATTTACTGAATTAAGGGCCTTTGGTTTAGAAAATTTCATAAAGTTGTACTAGTCTGGATCTTTATGTCTTGCCAGCAGGGCTGGATCTAGTTTATTGTACATATGTGTATAAAAGTGACTTTAAGATCAAGTATTTCACTTCAGATGACCATCTTTTTGCAGAATTAACCCAGACTTAGAAAATTTCATGAATCTTGAATTTGTTCAGACATTTTATGTAATGCCAGCTGATCTGGAGCTGATTTTTTATATATTTGTGTAATGATGCTTACAATTGGAGTGATGTGTTTCATCCGGTTGACTTATTTTCAGGATAAGTTTACAGGCTGGAGAATTCCTGTCATACTGACAAATCTAGTTTTGTGTATGTGTCCCTTCTTATTTTATATGTGCCAACTTTTTCATTTTCTATATGTTGGTATCAGTATTTGGTCTTCTTTAACTTTATCAGTATTACCTCCTGTCATCAAATTTTTGTCATTGTTGCTTACTAATTTTTGAATTAATAGATAATCAGTGAAAATTACACAATAGTTTTTTATATTCTTTATAAGACATTCAGTGAGTGGAAATAAAATTAATGAATCTGCGGTGCAGAACACATGTGGTTGAAGAGGTGCAAATTAATCAGCAACAATGTGAAAAAACACAGGTCAAGGAATTACACAAATCCCTCTAATAACAATGTCTTAATCAGGTGCTTTAGAAAGGGTTAACAGATTTATTTATAGTTCTGGCAAATTAAAAAATATGAAGCATGACTAGGGGGAGGTATAGCTACTTTTTATTCTGCTTGAAACTGCAAGGTGAAGCTATAGTACAATCAGTCGAAATTTTTTATCAGGTTGTCACTGCAAAATCTTTAAATAAAAAAAAAAAATGTTGCATTTTTTTTATTGTATTGCATTCTTGAGATGAATAAATTTTATGAAAATATTGCATTTTATTAATCAAGTTTGCATTTTTTTTAAAAATATTCATTTTAAAAATTCTATAGACTCCTAGTGAAATAGTTAATTGGTCCAGTGAATGTACAGTTAAATAGAATTTGTCCTAGTGAATGTAGAGTTAAATAGAATTGATCTATCCAGACAATATGCTATTTATACAATACATAATATTATGACCTTGTATTTTGTATGTATTTAGACCAGTTTTTAGTGCATTGTAGTTAGATCATTGAGGATTGAGGGATAAAATGCATAGGGATTAAAAAAATTGAATTACAAAATACTGTGAATGTATACCTCATCATGAAAATGAAAAAAGAGACCTTTTGAATACTTTTATTCACTGATAGACTCTTTTGCAAAATAAACAGTCACAAAACATATATAGTTGTCTCATTGGCTATCATACCACATCTCCTTATTTTTATATAATACTTTGTATGTATTTATTCATAAAACAACAATTTCCAAGTATCATTTAATATTTTGATTATACCTCACTGTAATGCCCTTGTCGATATGTCCATCTGTTCTTCCTCTCATACATTCTTATTTTAGTAGCATAACTCATCATCTGTCTGAAGGAATGACATGATATATTTGATAATTGCCACTGGGCATTAAACAACCAACAATCAATCAATCAGTCCAAATCTTTCATTGCCAGCTCCTTTTTTGAATTAGAACATATCCTCATTAACCAAATTTGTTTTAATTTAATAAGGTTTTTGATGCACTTTATAAATGTTTTCCTCTTTTTATGAAAATGCAGCTTTTTTTTACTGTTTTGCAGTTTTATTGAACATGAAATCCCTCAGATTAGTTATGATTACAGTAAATAGGGCATAGAAATAAAAAAGAAATATCGAATAATTTCATCTTTCACCAGAGATATTCTTCCATTATATCCTTGGTCATTAAAAATAATTCCTAAATAATTGCTGTGTTTATCATCTGTTTGTTTAAATTGATACCTTTCTGTCGAAGCTCCTGTCATTTTCTGGTAAATATATAGAATTTAATAGTTGTACTAATTCAGTAAATTTATAGTGCAATCAAGTTTTTCATCAGTCAAGAAAATTTATTATTTTAGACATTTATAACATTGGTAAAGTTGTCAAAATGTTGTCATTTTAAATTTTAACATCATTTTATACCAGTAATTGAAATCAATATTTGCCTAAAAAATTGATAATGTGAGTTCTTTTTATTTTTTTAGTGGATACCTAATTTGTGAATGCAGGAAAAATTATAGTTTCGAGGATACTTGATTTCATGGTTTTCACAAATTCTGCATACACACCAAAAGGAAATTTGTAATTGGTTAAATATTTAAACTTGTGGTTCACGTATTCCCACAGAACCCACAAAGTTAGTACCCTGGAATAATAATAAATTTACAGTATTGATTTCACAGTATTACAATGTACATCAATAAGAGTTTCTGACTTTCCACAAGTACTACATTTTCGTTATTGTCTTTGTAGACAAAGTCTAAAACTAAAGTTCATATAATTCTAGACCTAAAAACTGATATATTTTTTTTAAGTTTTACATAACATGCAATCATCATGTCAGTTTGAAAATAAATGTTCAATAGCCATCTTTATATATCTTTACTAATAAGGTTATCCGGGTGTAATTAATTTTTAAGACTTACGCATCTGAGTATTAGATCTGAGTATTAGTTTTTGTAATAGTACATTTTTTCTCATCATTAGTAGAATTTCAGGGATTTATTTTGTTTCTATATTTAAAACAGAAATGTCACTGTCTACACATGGTAAACAGTAGCTAGTTGTATGAGCAGTCCTTGTACTGTCGAACAAGGAATTTTCTAGAAAGACATAATGAAGAGTCATCCAAATCTTGATTGTAGAATTAAAAAAAAAATGGTGATAACTTTATATGAATTGGGTGACAATTGTATTTTAGATCCAGGAAAAAAATTTAAGAATTCATTAATATTATTTCTTGAATATTCTACTTACTAACTGTTGTATGCCAAATACCTTTTTGTGTTAGAATATAGTTTTTGATTGTTAAAGATCTGTATAACAAATTTTTACGAGTGCTTCTTTTGTTGATTTACAATAGATAAAAATAAGCTATATAATTGTAGTACTACAATAAAAATAAACAATAAAATTTTTAAACCTTACATCTTTTTTAGCTCACCTGGCCCGAAGGGCCAAGTGAGCTTTTCTCATCACTTGGCGTCCGTCGTCCGTCGTCGTCGTCCGTCGTCGGCGTTAACTTTTTACATTTTGAACTTCTTCTAGAGAACCACTGAATGGAATGAAACCAAACATGGCATGAATGTTCCTTATGAGGTGCTGACCAAGTGTTGTTACTTTGTAGCCGATCCATCATCCAAGATGGCCGCCAGCGGGGGACTTAGTTTAACATAGGACCCTATGGGAAATGCATACAAATGACTTCTTTTAGAGAACCACTGAATGGAATGTAACAAAACATAGCATGAATGTTCCTTACAAGGTGCTGACCAAGTGTTGTTACTTTGTAGCTGTTCCATCATCCAAAATGGCCACCAGTGAGGGACTTAGTTTAACATAGGACCCTATGGGAAATGCATACAAATGACTTCTTTTAGAGAACCACTGAATGGAATGAAACAAAACATAGCATGAATGTTCATTAGGAGGTGCTGACCAAGTGTTGTTACTTTGTAGCCGATCCATCATCCAAGATGGCCGCCAGCAGGGGACTTAGTTTAACATAGGACCCTATGGGAAATGCATACAAATGACTTCTTTTAGAGAACCACTGAATGGAATGTAACAAAACATAGCATGAATGTTCCTTACAAGGTGCTGACCAAGTGTTGTTACTTTGTAGCTGTTCCATCATCCAAAATGGCCGCCAGTGAGGGACTTAGTTTAACATAGGACCCTATGGGAAATACATACAAATGTCTTCTTTTATAGAACCACTGAACGGAATGAAACCAAACATGGTATGAATGTTCCTTATGAGGTGCTGACCGAGTGTTGTTACTTTGAAGCGGATCCATAATCCAAGATGGCCTCCAGCGGGGGACTTAGTTTAACATAGGACCCTATGGGAAATACATACAAATGTCTTCTTTTAGAGAACCACTGAATGGAATGAAACCAAACATTGCATGAATGTTTCTTATGAGGTGCTGACCGAGTGTTGTTACTTTGAAGCCGATCCATAATCCAAGATGGCCGCCAGCGGGGGACTTAGTTTAACATACCACCCTATGGGAAATACATACAAATGTTTTCTTTTAGAGAACCACTGAATGGAATGAAACCAAACATGGTATGAATGTTCTTTATGAGGTGCTGACCGAGTGTTGTTACTTTGAAGCCGATCCATAATCCAAGATGGATGCCAGCGGGGGACTTAGTTTAACATGGGACCCTATGGGAAATACATACAAATGTCTTCTTTTAGAGAACCACTGAATGCAATGAAACCAAACATGGCATGAATGTTCCTTATGAGGTCTTGACTAAGTGTTGTTACTTTGAAGCCGATCCATCATCCAAGATGGCCGCCAGAGAGGGACTTAATTTAACATAGGACCCTATGGGAAATACATACAAATGTCTTCTTTTAGAGAACCACTGAATGCAATGAAACCAAACATGGCATGAATGTTCCTTATGAGGTGCTGACCAAGTGTTGTTACTTTGAAGCTGATCCATCATCCAAGATGGCAGCCAGCGGGGGACTTAGTTTAACATAGGACCCTATAGGAAATACATACAAATGTCTTCTTTTAGAGAACCACTGAATGCAATGAAACCAAACATGGCATGAATGTTCCTTATGAGGTGCTGACCAAGTGTTGTTACTTTGAAGCTGATCCATCATCCAAGATGGCAGCCAGCGGGGGACTTAGTTTAACATAGGACCCTATGGGAAATACATACAAATGTCTTCTGTTAGAGAACCACTGAATGCAATGAAACCAAACATGGCATGAATGTTCCTTATGAGGTGCTGACCAAGTGTTGTTACTATGAAGCCGATCCATAATCTAAGATGGCCGCCAGCGGAGGACTTAGTTTAACATAGGACCCTATGAGAAATACGTACAAATGTTTTCTTTTAGAGAACCATTGAATGGAATGAAACCAAACATGGCATGCATGTTCCTTTTGAGGTGCTGACCAAGTGTTGTTACTTTGAAGCTGATCCTTCATCCATGATGGCTGCCAGATGGGGACAATGTTTAACAAAGGACCCTATGGATGATACATACAAATGTCTTCTTTTAGAGAACCACATACTGAATGGATTGAAACCAAACATGGCATGAATGTTCCTTATGAGGTGCTGACTAAGTTTTGTTACTTTGAAGCTGATCCTTCATCCATGATGGCCGCCAGTAGGGGGACTTCCTTTAACATAAGACCCTATGGGAAATACATACAAATGCTTCTTCTAGAGGTGCACTGAATGGAATGAAACCAAAACATGGCATAAATGTTTCTTATGAGGTGCTGATTAAGTGTTGCTACTTTGTTGCCGATTTACTGTTCAAGATGGCCACCAGGATTTTTTTATTAAATTACAGGACCAATATTAAACCAAATTTGGCCTCACTCATTATTAGGGTATCTGTTATGATTTTAATCTATTTTTACATGATTTCCAAAACCAAAGTAGAATCAGGTGAGCGACACAGGCTCTTGAGAGCCTCTAGTTTCTTTCAGCTGTTGTGTACTGGATAGTTACTATTTTTGATTATAAGCTAACTCACAAGAGGAAAGAAATATGTTGTTTTTGTTTCCTGGGGAGTAGAACATAACACTTTTTATGAGTAATGGGATAACTATATTTGGTATATGGGTTCCTTGCAAGGTCTACATGTCTGTCAGACAGGGTTAACCTGACCTCGACCTCAATTCATGGATCAAGTTACGTGATTAGGTCCGTTTCTCAGATACTACAAGCAGCAGGTCAGCTATATGTGGTGTATGGAAT